ACTTGTCTGTATATATTTATTATATGAGTTCTGAGAGATGTCTTATTGAATATTCCTGTAAGAAATATGTAAATTAACACACAAAGCTGAGACTTAACTGGAATTTATGTGGTTGGCAAAGTGAGCAAGTCAGTTTCCTTTTTTGTGCACTTTTCATAATTGTGAACTTTAATGTAAATCGACGAACTCTTGTGGAAACTTAATAATTATTTAAGAATTTGAAAATTTGATGTTCCAATAACTCATAATATTTTGAACAGATTCGATTATGTGTTTGCCAATATCAATTAATTAGAAAGGCAGCACAGCAAAAAATCGATGTTTTAAATACAAATTCATTCGGAAATAAACACAAATGAAATTTCAGTTCAATAAACTTTTTTCATGGGCTGATAAATTACAATATTTACTTGAATGTGCATCGGTATGTGTCGTATGACAATTGTTTTATGTAATTTTTATGGCATGTGATTTATTAAAAATGATTTTGTATCGAAAAAATCGTTTAAGGTTCATCACTTGAATCATTTTGAATCGAAATTAAATAAACATTACAAATGTAACTCAAACAAAAATGAAGAAGGATGTCCATATATGCATTGGGGACACGAGCATCTGATGCGGCTGTGTAGAAATTGAGAGCTGGTTCGATTGAAAACGGACGAAAATGCAACCTCTGCTCGTTGTGTAAAGTAAGCAGTTTATTTTTGAGCGCAAGCAACTCGCTTTTGCTGCTGCTGCTGCTGTTGCACATTTCTTCGCATAATTATGAAGGTCTCTGCCAGGACACAAAAAAGAAACGAACGAGAAAACAAAACTGAAAAAAAAAGGACAAACGCAGCATTTGCCATCGGAATGCAATTTGCATTTAAGTAGCAAACAATAACAACTAAGCACATTTGCATACGCCAGGCAAAAACGCTCACAGTACAGTTATAAGCCGAGCTGCTGCTTCACCCTTACCCAACACCTCCCCCGCCCACTCTACCCAGCCGCCACACTCTCTTTGCTCTTGTCTCTCTCCGACAGCTGAAAAACGCATTGCAGCTGGCAAGCAAAAGAAACAAAAAAGTGTTGCCTACTTTTTTGATGCTGCAGCATCAAGTGATGCGGACGTGTGTGTGTGTGGGTGCGCGCGTGTGTTTGTAGGCGCTGCTGATGATGACAATATGTAATGACAAACGGAGATTTTTACTGGCTTTTTATGACTTATTCACACGCTCGCTCACGCACACCCAACACCCAACACCCTACGCTCTCAAACACAAACACGCACACACACATTGGAGCCTGCCAACACACACCCACACACGCACACGAGCAGCGACAACGACGTCGTCAACTCGACTTCAAATTGTGACGGGCAAGGCCAAAAGCAGCAGCTGCCAACCAAAGCTTGCCAACCACCCACTGCCCGCCCCGCGACCTCTTACCCAAAATATGCCTGCTTAGCACTTGGCAGTGCCCTTCAGTTATCCATGCCACTCCCCCGCTCTCACTCTCCGCCCCTCTCACTCTCACCTCCCGCTTGCTGGCTCGCTCTCTACACAGGCATTGTAGGCAGCTGACTGTGTTGAAATGTTCTTGTTGTTGTTCAGCTTACAGCCGAAAGGGAACAGCTGTGTGTGTGCGTATGTGTGTGCGTTTATATTAAGTGCATGTGTCACAAAAACGGCAATGTTTAATTAAAAGCGATAGCAACAGAACGCAACGCGTAAAAATCGCTGCGTTGCAAGCGACAGAAAATCGAGAGATTTTTGTAACAACGCATAAGATGCCAGACTCAGAATCTCTCCACCCTTTAACCAAACACAACCTCTGACAAGCCAAAACCTCCCCCACTCCTCCCCAACCAACCACTGCTGCATTAGGGCTTAGAGTTTCACCATTTCACGAAATTGAAAACAATGCGCTGTTCATTAACAGAATTTCGTCAGATGGCATGGGAGGAGGAGGAGGGGGGGGGGGTAAATTATTATTAAGCATAACCGAAGGCGGTTGCACAACTCACAAAATATTTCAATTAGCAAAAGCTGAACTGCAGCACTGAATCTGATCAGATTTCGATTGCATTTTGTGTTCTTAGGTTGTGATTAAGTTAAATGCGACAGCACAAAGAAAACTATGTATGTGTGTGTGTGTGTGTGGTTTTGCAGACAAACTTCGGGATAGTTTTAACAGCCGACAGGCAAATAATTAAAGCGCATTGAAAACTCAAATAATAGCAGATTCATCTAATTAATACACTGAGCTGATGTGCCATCAGCCGGAGGCTTGAGAAAATACACAATATATTAGACAACTGGATATTAACGTATATAAGATTCTTTGCCAAGCTTCTTAAATCATCATCTGCACTTGACTCAGAGCTTCCACTCGTTGTCCGAGTATGGAATATGTGGGTGTAGCCACACCTACGTGCGAGCAGATATGCCATGGAAATCTATATCTCGCACAGGGAGCTAGTTTTTCTTTTAATTTGGCATGTACTTTCTCGAATGATGAAGGTTCGGCCACGTCCGACCCGTCCGCACGTGTACGAAACCAATGCAAAGGTAATTTTATTATCCGCCAACGAACATTTCCCCCCTTTCAGGTAATTTACCAGCTAAGCCAAACACAAATATTGAATTCTCAGTACTTTGGCGTATTATTAAATTTGTACGTTTCATCGGAATATCATTTTTGGGGGCAACAGTAAAACTATATTGAAGCCAATTGGAAATAGGAAACTCAGACACAAGACAAAAGAGCTCAAAATAAGCATTCAATACGATGAATAACTTTTGTTGTTCTACTGAATGCTGGCTACATCCAAGCAGAATTTCTGACTGTTAAATGGCGCCCTTTCAACTGTCCAGTAGTCCAATAATGTGTTATTTCCAGCATATTTATAAATAAATAAAACAACTGATGAATTAAATGGAAATAATGCCAAAAATATAATCTATTCTAGCATTCGCACGCCAGCTATTTGCATCTGAATACAAATAAGGATAGTAATAATCAAGTGAGAGTGCTCGACTAGAAGACAACCTTAGCTAAGCCAACTTTAAAAACAATCTAGTTTCTATCTATGCGTACATACACGGGAAAATCTATAAGCACAGTCGCTCGCCCTGCTCCACACTGTGGAATATGTACTCTTGCATTTCTCTGCTGTTTGAAGTGTCTACTGGCAGCGAAAAGTGTGTAAATACCCAGGCTGCCGCATTTAAAATTAATTTCCCTGATATATTTGTAAACATCACAGACTAAACAGGAACCTAGATACAAAGTTTGCTGCTGCCAGCTCCAATCATTTTTACAAAATCAAGTCTTTGAATCGAGTCTTACGGGATTCCATAAAAAGTGATAAGCTTGTTCGGGCTACGGCTAGATCAAAGATCAATTCAAGAGTTCGATTCAGTGCAGCGTCCTGACCATGAATCTATCTATGGGAACGCTTCCTTCTGCCTGTTAAAAACATTTGCACAAAAACATTATACCTTCATACCCATTTACAATGGGTTCAGCGTAAGAAAAGAATCTATTATTGCCAAAAACAAAAAATAAAAAAAAGGACAAACAAAAAAGTCAAAGTGCGGCATGTGAAACCCAAGCTCGGCCTTTAACAATACAGACGGATAGACAACAGAATATGGGTAGTTTGGGTCGATAAACAAGATTGTCTAGACGGTATTGAAATTAAAATAAAATAATAAGAAACTGATATATTTGGCACACCGAAGCTGCAAGACCCTAATCGATATGTGCCCTTCAAATGCTGTTAAACGAAAGCTTGATTTGCGACCAATTGTTTATATAGGAGCTATATAATATCTGATCAGGGTATGCAGAATAGTAAAGCTCATCATTGCTTAGTTTGATCAAGAGACCTTGAAAAATAGCAAAGTTTTACAAACAAAGCTCATTCTTTAATCGATTTGTCCAATTGAGCTGTGTATATAATAGTTTTAGGCTGAGATTAGTTTGCAAACAAATAGACGGACGGGCATGGCCATATAGACTCGGCTCGTCTCCTTCTAAGCGTTACACAATTCACGACAAAATCATACTACCCTCTGCAAAAGATACAAGAAATTTGAGACCTTGCAGAGGGTAATCAAGCAAAAAAAAACATGTAAGAAGACATCTCCGATAAACAAACACGTGTCGTATATGGTTCATATAGTTAAATTTGTACTGTTTTTTTTTTCGAGATTTCCAAACCAATTACGAGTTTATGCTGCTCGTAAAAAACTTATCCAATTGCGTACAAATTGTATACACACGCATATCATGAGTGGAAGGATCCGAATTATTTTGTATCGAGTATGTGGCATAGTTTTTAAAAAGGATAATTAATTTTCCTTTTTGACTATATTTGTTTCGTTTACAGGATGGTTAGTTTATGAATTGGCTATTTGGTAAACGACGATATGCGTGAAGTACTTGGCCGGTCAAGGTGCTTTTGGGACTGTTGCCAACGCCTGCATACTTGGGGCCCCCACGAAGGGTACGCATATACAAAGGACACTTGAATGGGATGCGCGCACACATGGAGCAGCGTGTGTTGGGGACTGGCAACCCGTACGGAGGAGGCACTTAGGGCCCTGGAGCAAAATACCAAAACCAAAACCAAAACCAAATCTCGCCTCGCCTTGAATCGCACCTCCTAGATTTGATTCGGTGTTCGTCCTTTTGGGCCAGCTCCTTGGACAGTGTGTGTGTGTGTGTGTGTGTGGGTGTGCAGGCGGGGGAGGTTATTGGAATTGGAGTACATGAGCGCCATTGTTGCTGCCTTGCCATTTGCCGGCCTGCCAATATGGCGCACATAATGAGGCGCCCAGTTGCCGTTTTTTGTGTCAATGTGTGAATGTCTGAGTGTGTGTGTGTGTGTGTGTGTTCTTTGTGGTCCATTGTCGTAATGGCCACTGTGCAACTGTGCAAGGGGTCTGCTCCATCACAGTTGCTAACAATCCATCTCGCTATTCAGTCTATCAATGTGTCTTACTTACCTTGCCCTGCGACGAGGATATGGTGGAGGCCGACGGAGTGCCCGAGGATTGTGCGCTTAACGTGGATCGGCTGCTGTTCGCTTGCATTGCGCAGCGCGACGACGTCCCTCGAATCCTTTGCTGACCACCAACAGGCGCAATCAACTAGTTTTAGCTCCGATTGTTGCTATTGTTGTAAACATTTTTCCACTACAAATGCTTCTCAGCTATATCATTATTCGGCTAATTTTCTTTTTTGTATGTTTGCATTATTTATTTTTTATAAATTCTACTTGTTCTCTTATGTGAATTAGTTGTAGCGGCTCCTACCGCTTTTATTCTTCCTTTTGTTTTGGGGCGGAGCGTTGCTGAAAGTATAAAACAAATGTTGAGCAACTTTGAGCAAATTTCAAACTTGAAAAGCGTTTAAAAATTCCAAGAGCTTAAAATATAAATATTTACTAAAATTAAAACAAATAAAAGTGCCTTAGTCGCGAGTGCACGACTAGGATATACCCTGAATCCACCTTCCCTTGCTTCAATAAATATATACAAGAAACTATGGTTATTTTGTGCTTGATTAACTTTGTTGTTTATATCCTGAATCTTTATGATATTCTCTGGAGGGAATGCTGCAAGATTTTCAAAAACTGATATACTCTGGTTATGCGTGTACTCTACGCGATTTAAGGGCTTCAAGCTTTGCTTACAAAACAAATCTTCAATATATGTACATTCTTATCGATTACATGGAAACAGGGCAAGTTATCGACGAGCTATGAGGGCAATAGAATGAGCTACATTTTCCAGCTCTTGCAGTCTCTCAGATCTACGCATACATATATACGGACAAACCCATGCTGATGCTGAACAGGAATATATATACTTAATGGGGTGGGAGATGCTTCTTTCCGCCTGTAACAAACATTTGCACCAAAACCGTATACCCTTTTACCCATTTGCAATGGGTTCGGAGTGCAGCAAAATAAGTTGGCAAATCCGTTTAAAAATAGAATTGTTATCTATGTGAAGTTTGGTTAATATACACACATAAAGCAGGAGCAGAGGTCTATTTTTGAATCTACAAACTAGCAGCCATATGACGGAGCCAAATATAACTTTGTAAACTTTGACTTTTGTATAACTTTGCATTTTGCCAGTTATGAAAATTCCTGTTAAACTAAAAGGCAGCAGGCCAAATTTGTACTCCCTAATTATAACCAGAACGCATTGAAAATGCGTAAAGAAAGGGTATATTGGTTTTGTGCAAATATGCAAAGCAACAGTCAGAAGGCGGCAATTATATGTACAAATTCTTGATTAGCAGCCGAGTCCGTCTGTCTGTCCATATCTTCAAAAAAAGTCGATCTCTGAGAGATTATTGGAGCAGATTTAGTAAATAATATTTAACTTTTTGGAACCTGAACAGATGCAAACACTCTTTTATTGGTTATTCCTGAAACGGACAAAGGGACCTTTCATACAAAATTGTAGCCCACAAATTAAATGGCGACCAATTTGTGATTTCTAAGTAATATTTAAATACTTTTAATATGAATGAAAATTAATGTATGCAAGTGCTTTTCTTATTTATTCATTTTGTTGAAATCTCTAAAGTGTTGAAAATAAGCAAAGCCAACAGATAAATAATGATGGAGTAAAAACCAAAAAATATCAATATAATTTTTGTCATTTTGTTGAATTTGTTGTCTGTGAAAGGGTAACATTTAGTTCTTTTTCATAATAAAATTTCAAAACCGGAATAAACATAATTAAATCCTGTTAAATAAATTAACTGAAAAGTTTTGGATAGGTTAAGGTAGGATATGACCTTTTATACATATATCTGCATCAACAAACGTGTAAAACTTACTTTTGACAGAATACAAATAAAAATCATCAACATTTCTTTAAAAAAGCACATAATTCTTAATAAAAATATGTTCATTTTTGTTGATTTACACAAAAAGTATTTGGCTTAAACTAATAATTGCAATTGTAAAAGATATAAAACCAACACTCGCCTACAAAAATGTCTTCTCTTTAATCATTAAACATATTTTTCTACAGGTTTATATCCTGCTTTCTGTGAAATTGATAAATAAATGGAAGATTTAACTTGTGCAACTCGACTCGTAACTGCGATTGTACGTTTAGGATGTAGTTTTTAGTGGTAAACAAGCGTCAGATGAAATCTTAATTTGGGGCTGTCTATCGGCTACAAAAGTGTGCCCCATAATTGTCTCGATTGTCTAGTGTTCCGCTTGTCCGGGTCTCGAGTGCCTGTCAACCTGTCAGCCTGCAGGGTATGCAACACTTTTTTTTCGGCAATGCGGAGGAAACGAAAAACGTTCGTGAAATGTGCAGTGGAAGCAATAAAAAACACACAAAAAATGGGCTAGAAACGTTCAGCGACCGCATCTTTGGAGCACAAATCAAAAGAAAATGTCACAGTCGCTGCCGTCGCTACCGCAGCTACTGCGCAGCAACTGAGGGGCAAGCATTTGACTCTCAGCGGAAACGGCCTCAAGCCCAGAAATAGGGCTAGGTCATTTACGGAGCCCAAAACTGTGCAAGTGTGGGGCTGCTAACAAGGACATGCCACCCAACACAGCACTCACACACACACACACACACACACACACACACACACACACACACACACACACACTACACACACACACACACACGCACAGACACTGGCACCCTCACGGAGACAGCAGCGCCGTTCTGTTAAAGGATGCTGCTGCAGCGACGGCGATGGTAGCGCATTTTGCTTGCTTTCAGTACTGTCATCTGCTGGCACACCCGACTAAGAGCTAAGCAGTCGCAGTCACAGCAGCAGCAGCAGCAGAATTTTATGCCAAGGGCAGCGGCAAGCCCAAGCACGTTTTGTGGTGCAGACATAACCTCAACTTCTTGCGCGCTGCTTACCACGCTGCCAGCGTCGACGTCGCTGCTATTACGGCAGCCATTTTATGGGCCAGGCAACAGCTATTTGTGTGGATTTATGTATGTGCACACGCACGTACATACACACACACATGCGTATGCTTTTAATATATTGGACGCTGCTGCTGTTTTCATTTTGCAAATTTATTAAGAGCAGAAAAACGCACTAAAATATACAACATAATAAAAAAACAAGATTAAAGAATGCAGCAAGATCGCCAAAAAAAAAATCACATTCTTGTATGCAAAACAAAAATACATAGAAAAACCATAAAACAAAATCAAAATTTTGCATGCTTAACTTAAAGTAAACTACTATAAACAGATATATTAATATACGTGTGAATAAATTGGGTTACGCTACAATTTTGTGCTGCTTTCGCTAGGCAAGTAGGTTGTTTTGTTTTTTCAAATTAAACGTTACGTTTCGTTTCGTTAGATTTGTGCGTTTCGTTTCGATATTTGGCTTCTTCGTCTTCTCCATCGACTTAGACTAAGGCTGGTTGGCTGCAGATTGAGCTTTAAGCGCTATTCGTATTCTCTTGCGAGTTGTGCGTTTTATTTCTTCTTAATTTATAGTATTATTATTTATCTGTGGCGATTTTATAGCTTATTTAACTTTATATTTTCATGGGCATGGCTTTTGTTTAGCATACGAGGATTGTTTGGCATACCATGAACCAAAAAAAAAAATATTTAACACGCTGTCATATACGCGTACACACACACACACACGAACGCACGCAGTGAGAAAAAAAATTGAGTGGCGGCGGCTGCGACGGCAACGCGTTTAACACAAAAAAAAAATAAAGGAAAAAAGCGTGGCAAATTTAGCAAAATTTTGTACAATTTATTTTGGAATGCCTTGGCAAAGTGAGCGAACAAAAACGGCCGCAGAAAATGTGCAAAAGACGCATAAAATATGTGAGCAGCTGCGGCAGTAAAAAAATTTCAAGCGGCTGACAATTATTTAAATAGCAGAGCCAACTCAGACAAGAAGTTTCCGTTTCCGTTTCTGTTACTGATTGGGATTCTTGCCGTGCAGTTTCTGCTGCGCACGCCCGCTTTTACCGCCGTCCGTGGCTCTAAAGTATGCTACAATTTATGTTGAAATCTTGCGCGTAACTGAACTGAGCGTTGCGAATTGTGTGTACAGCAGCCGTTGCCGTGGCCCGTGCACTGGCGCTGGCTCCGTTTCTGTTTCTGTTTTCTGGTTAACGGACTTTGGCTCAGCTGCCAATGCGGCAGCAGCAGCCGAGGATGCTAATGCTAATGTCGACGTAGCGGGCTGCTGGACCAGCCGAGCCAGTGGCAAGACAACTACAGCGATGGCTCGCGAGAGAGCGAGAGGCAAGAGAGAACGAGCGCGCGTGCGGTATTGCCGGGATACACAGCAAACAGCAGCTGCTCGACTACACCTGGCTAAGTACCAATGCTTGGGCCAATGAGGAACATTTTTAATTTCCTTTTTGCTATTAATTTTAAACAAAATTCGCAATGCCGCATTTTTATTAAACGCGACCGTTGAGCAATGTTGCGTTTTTAGTGCTGTTGCCAGACAATCTGTTAAGTGAAGAGTTGCCAGACTTTAACAATTGCTGCAGGCCACAGAATAAGGGAAGAAACTTGACCTAATAATATTAAACATCCAGAAAATATTAAACTATCAAAATAGCTTGTAACAAAACTCGTTTACTTTAGTTTTCATTCAATTTACAAATATATATAAAATAATTTACAAATCAAAATATAGTCTTACAATAAACTTGATTGGCATATGAATTATAAATATCCTAATGCGACCAACTATTACCTAAATTCGAAGGGTTTTCATACTGATAAACAGATAGTACATCAATAAGTTTGATGCAAATCGTAAATATATATAACAATATATAAACGCGTATATTTACTTTTATGAGGCTGTGAACCCAAGCTACCACATATGTTACTTATGTTATTGTTCCAAAAATGTACGGTAGCACTGTATTCTCATGTTGTTGCGTTAACAGTGAACGCAAAAATGACCCAAAAGTCTGTTAATGCAAAGCAGCCCTAGTATTTTTAGTATTTTCTACACTTAACGTCTCATTGCCAATATATCGGCCAACCACCATAATTGCTCGTTGTGTGTCGGACGTCTATCGCCCGTCGATATAATTCTATCTGCAACTTTTTCTCAACATAAGTTTTTTTTATGTTTAAGAAACATATACGAAAGCAGAAATCGATACATTGCTAAAGTGCTAAAGCTAAGCCGAAGATATTGAGATAAGAGCCTTGCAACTCCAGAACGATATAACTTAACGAAACAGCCAACGAGCAGCAAACAGCAGACATAAAGACTCACATACACTCACGCACGCAAACGATAAAAACGAAAAAAAAAAACAAAAAAAGAAACGCAAATTATTTGAAATAAGTTCGAAGCTAACCAAATATTTTAAAGTCATCACAGAGCTGATTCCAGCTCGAGCAAAGCCCTAATACATCAAGCTGCGCCAATACCTCTTCCAGTTCAGTAGCATCCCGTGTACTTCTGTGCGTGTATGTGTGTTGTCTCTGATTGTTTTCTATTGTGTGCGCAGTGCGTGCGTGCTTTTGGCTGAGGGGGCGGGTGGGACAAGTGCAACTGGCAGCAGCTAAAGGAGTGAAATCTGTGCAGCCAAATCGGCAAAACAGACCTGTGTAAGTAACAAAACGCGCGCATGCTGCCAAGTGGGTGTGGTGATGGTCGTTTGTGACGGTGGGTGGGGGCAAATGCAGCGCGACATTGCCTGCCTTCGTGTTATTGTTTTTTTATTCTGTTGCTTATCAAGATTCTGCGTCATTGCAGTTGGACGGGCTCGAGTTTCTATAAAGAAACGCGCGTCCATGTTTAAGCTTTTGATGCTGGCCGAGATCAGGCGACGGCAAATCGTTTAGCAGCAGCACAAAAAGGAGCAGCAGCACTGGCCATGCTCCCTATTAGCGAGGAGCAGCACGTTGACAACAGCAACAATCAGCAACATGCCGACACCTCAGATGAAGCTGCCGCAACGGCAGCGAACGGTCTTGGTGTTGAAGAGTCGGCACTGGGCGCTGAAGCTAGCTTGTGGACGGCACTGTACGACTACGATGCACAGGGCGAGGATGAGCTGACACTGCGACGGGGACAAATCGTTGTTGTCCTCTCCACGGACAGTGAAGTGTCTGGCGATGTGGGCTGGTGGACAGGCAAGATCGGTGATAAGGTACAGTTATTGGTAATCAGTAAAGGATAATAGCCAGTCTCTAAGTCTTTAACCATTGGCAGGTCGGTGTTTTCCCCCGAAACTTTGTAACAGACGCGGATCCGTTAGAGTTGCCGCATGAAATTGACTACTCAGAGCTGGACATTAAGGAGGTGATTGGATCTGGTGGCTTTTGCAAAGTACATCGTGGCTTTTATGATAACGAGGAGGTTGCCATTAAGATAGCCCATCAAACTGGCGAAGATGATATGCAACGCATGCGTGACAATGTTCTGCAGGAGGCCAAACTATTCTGGCCACTTAAACATCGTAATATCGCGGCACTGCGCGGTGTCTGTTTGAAGACCAAACTGTGTCTTGTCATGGAATATGCACGAGGCGGCAGCCTGAATCGCATACTCGCTGGCAAAATTCCGCCTGATGTTCTCGTCGATTGGGCCATTCAAATTGCTCGCGGCATGAATTATTTACACAGCGAGGCGCCCATGTCTATTATACATCGCGACCTGAAGTCCTCCAATGTGCTCATCTTTGAGGCCATCGAGGGGAGCCAGTTGCATCATAAAACGCTCAAAATAACCGACTTTGGCCTCGCGCGAGAAATGTACAACACACAGTGCATGAGCGCTGCTGGCACCTATGCCTGGATGCCGCCCGAGGTCATTAGTCGGAGCATGTACTCCAAGTAAGTGGACACAATATTAACAAAATTAAGTTGAATGCAAATAATTGTATCTACAGATCATCGGATGTGTGGAGCTATGGTGTGCTCCTCTGGGAACTGATCACAGGCGAGACGCCCTACAAAGGTTTCGATCCGCTCTCCGTTGCGTATGGCGTCGCTGTAAATACACTAACGTTGCCGATACCAAAAACCTGCCCCGAAACTTGGGGTGCCCTAATGAAAAGTGAGTGAAATATTAGTGTCTACGTATACAAAATGTAAATCCAAATATTAACGTTGCTAACCCATTGCAGGTTGCTGGGAAAGCGATCCGCATAGACGGCCTGACTTTAAGAAGATTATTGAACAGCTGGAGAGTAGCGCGTGCTCAAAGTTTACGCTAACGCCGCAGGAATCCTTTCACCATCTACAGGAACTGTGGAAAAAAGAGATTGCTGAGGTGCTGCACGATCTGCGCGAAAAAGAGAAGGTATCCGTCCAAAAACCCACAATGCACTCCCAATTTTAAATATTCCCAATTCAACAATATCGTCGTCTATTCTCTATTAGTGCCTCGATAGGAAACTCTCGCTCTCTCCCTCTATCTTTAGTTTTGTATTTTTACATGTTAATATCTCTTTAGCTCTCACATAAACAAAATTGTCTAATCATTTGATTTACCGATTTTTTTCTATCAACTTTTCCGTCAATATTTGTTACCCAACTTCAAACCATGTTAAGCGTTTTCAAACCATCGAAGAGGTAAGCGCGCCATGTTCCAAAAAAGGGAAAAACATTTTTGCCGTTCGTTTTGTTCCGTTTTAATTAAATTTACTTCGTTTCTGTTAATGTTATTTTGGTCATTGCTATTCGAGTTTTGTGTGCTTTAAGTTATTTTCCCCCACCCCCACGCCAACCGCACCCGGCACTCGGCACCCCTCTCCGTATGCCAACAACCGCCACAATAATTGCATGACTTGCCATTTGCCAGACAGTCAGTTGGGTACTGAACGCCCCTGCACTAAAGATCCCCATTGTCAGTTTTTCCGTTTTCTCATCCAATAGGAACTGCGCAACAAGGAGGAGCAGCTGGTACTCATGCAAAAGAAGCAGCTGGAAAAGGCCAATAAGCTACATGAGCTCGAGGAGCAGTTACGTCAGCGCGAAATAAATATACTCGGACGCGAGCTAATGATGCAGCCAGTGTCAGTCCCTGTGCCGGTGCCATCAAAGCGGAAGCCCAAAAAGAGTAAAAAGGTAAACCAAATAAATTACAATTTCTATTTTGTTAACCCCCTTGGAATCTTTTTATACCTTATATTCCTTCTATTTATCACAGAAAGCGCTGCAGATATCACTGCCAACGGAGTTCCGGCACACAATTACGGCCGTCTGCGACAAAGTGGAGCCACCTGGCTCGCCCTCCCTATCCAGATTGCGTATTGTGACACGTGAGTAGAACACATTTTAGAGCAAAATTGATACAATTCCGCGTCAGGGTTTTCCCAAAAGGCTTCTCCACTTCAGTATGTTTGCAATTCCAGTTTCAGCTTGTTGTTTTTTTTTTTAATAAAATGAAATCAGATCAATTAACTGAATCATCTGATCTGCATGTCTTAGAACAATTTAATTGATATTATAATAAAAATGTGTGCCCAAAAAAAAATTTAGAAGGTTACTGAAACGAACTGGAATGAAGCAACAAATGAGCATTTAAATCAGTTTTTATTAGCGCAATGGAGGGAAATTGAACATAGAATTTTATTACTAAGCACCTTAATCACTTATCGGTTACCGAAAAGGTCGGAAAAACAGCATCACAGAGATTAAATCTGTTTGCTAACTAATACGAAAGAAACATAAAACATGTTCAATGTTTCAATTCCGAACGTTCCACATGGAAATTTAAAATTTGTAGATTTTGTTTAATGAATCTTAGTTTTGATTATATTATTATTTATTGATTTGTATATTTTTCTGTTCTTTTTTTTTTCTTTCTATTCTTTGATCTTTCCGCTTTGGTTTACTTTGTTTTTTGTTTGGGTGCATGGGACAGTCACCGATGGGCACAAAAACAAAACCTGGGGACCATCGACGATGCACCAGCGCGAGCGCTCGCTGCTGCCACCGCAGCTGGGCGGCCAGCCCGAGTGGCCGGCGCAAAGCTCCACGCACTCATCATTCAGTAAGAGTGCGCCGAATCTGGACAAGAAGCAGTTAAATGCGGCTGCCGCAGGGACAGCTGGAACAGGGGCGACAGCGATAGCTGCAACAACAAAGTCTTCTCAGCTGCTGGGCAGCTCCAACGTGGGCAGCATTGCTGGCGGCTCAACGCCCACATCGCCCATGTATTTGGGCGGCAGTGTGGCGGCCATGGGTGCGGTGGGCGCTGGTGTGGCCACAGGTATGCCATATTTAATACTGCATACCAACAACAACAACAACATCAACAACAACAACAACAACAATAGTAATCACATTTTTAACAACAACAACAACCACAAAACTAATACCAACAGCATCATTTCATCCAATGTATCGCCACGATTAAACGGCAATCACAGCAACAACAACCACAACGTAGCAAACCGAACGCCTGCCAATAGCATTTATGGTCGCGCCCGCAGCCAGGATTATGGTCTGGATCTGCCCTATAGTGCAAACAATGTTGTGCATCTGCTCTCGGACGATAGCTCCGAGACGGATACCCTAACGCCGACAACGGGCTGTTTTCATTTCTTAAAATCAAGCGCCTCCGCTGTCGCAATGGCACCCGTTGTTGGAGGCTCTTCCTATGGCGGCAGCCTGGGCAACAGTCCTGCTGTAGGCCGCAAAAAACTCTCGCTGGATAGTCAATTTGTGCAGCCCGTAGCGCAGATGACGGCCACAACGCCAACGATGATAATGTCGCCGTTGGTGCTCTCCTCGCTCGAGAGAGGCGATAATAATACGTACGATCGTGCCTTCTATCGGGATGTGGCCAAGAAGATATTGGCCAGCACTGATCGTGTGAATTCCAAATCGAGTGGTGACTTGACCATGTACAGCTCCGCCACGCGTCTCACCGAGCCGAGGGCTGACTATAACTATGATGATTCGGAGGATGTACTGGAGAGTCGCTTTCAGCGGAATGCGTCCGGTTCGCAATTTCCGCGCCACTGCTTTTTCCGACAACAACCAAATAGCTCCGACCGTGACAAGGATGAAGAGGAGCGGGAGCAGGAACGTGAGATGGAAGATGAGCAGCGCAATATTAACTCACATTGCTCCTCGGAGCATTCGTCCTCAACGGTAGACACCTCAGCGTCAGTTAGCCAGACGCGCCCCAACTGCTCGACGTCGCGAAAAAGTTCGGTTACCTTTCAAATGAACTCGCCCACATTTGAGTCACCGCCGCATGCCACACCCTCAGCGACAGGCGATGCCCAGAGCCAGCATCAGGCGTCCATTGCATCCATTAGCTTTGGCACAAACTACAGCTCCAGCGACAACGATAACGATGACGACTGGAACGATCATTTGAATCGCAGCGATAACGAAAACGATAACGACGATCACAATGCAAACAAAGAGGTTGCAGCAGCTACAACCGCACAGAATGGTACCCACATCCATGAGAACTCCATACTGCACACACGGCGCATGCTCGACGTCCAGCCGCATCCGGATGTGATCAAGATGAAGAAGCATCTGCTGGCCGAGCAGCAGCGACAGGACAGTAAGCACACGAAGAAAAAGCAAAAACTCAGGTACATCACCAAATCCAAGTCCGTGGAAGCGCCAGCCACTGTGGTGTCGAGCAGCCAGCAGTTGCAACAACCGCCGCAGCAACTACAGCCGGCGCAGCAGCACTCGACGAGTGGCATCAAAATCAGATCCCTAATGAATCTATTCACGCGCGGTTCCAAAAAGAAATACACTAAACTGTCCGATAATCAAATGGCCCGAGCTGGCAGCGGAAGCACTGCCGATTTTTGTGCCATTGATCCATATGAAACGGAATTGGCAACGGGCAAGTCCACAACAGGACGCTCCACGAAGCGCAAAAGCAAAAAGCCCCAAACGCAATCCTGTGAGCAATTGGAACGCGTCTGAATGTGCGTGTGTCATGTGGCATGTGGCACGACTGTGTCTCTGTGCGTGTGTGTGTGTGTGCGTGCGTGTATATCGGCTCTATCTGACAGTTCTACTTGTTGTGGTGGTTGTTGTGGTCAACGCCGTGCATCGTCGCAGTCCTGCATCAATAATCAAATACATGTGTATATATATATTTATGTATATGTATATATATATGTATACTGCTAGCAACAAGCCCATTGTTTTATATTAAAACCATAGATTAAGCTATATCATGCACACACAACTACACACACATATAAGCACTAGCTCCTAACTACTTGCATACATATTACAATAACAAATTACAAGGAACTTTCGTTTGTTCATTTGATCTTTTAACTGCTCCATGTGTAAGCAAAGATTTCGGCCACAGCTCAAAGCAACTCCGCAAATTACCTATTCGACTCGGAATGAGTATAACTATGTGGTCAGAGAGGAATCGACGTGAATACTTTGAAAAAGCTGGATCTGAACTTTATATGACATTTATCAGAACTGTTAACATCAGCGTTGAATAGTGGAAAAAGCTTTGACAAAAATTTCATCTTTAATCGGCTAGAAAAACTAGCTTGATGGAAAAATTGTCAGCATTCGCTTTTCTTTATATTCATCCCAGATAAAGAAGTTCAAAAGGTTATTGGTTTAAGAGTTGGTTTTGACGAAGAATCTAATACGCGCTCTAAAAAGCGCAGATAACTAATAACTACCAAAATGCAGTTGATTTCGAAAATTTCGCGCAATAAACCAAAGTACATTCCGATTTGTTCTCAAGAGTTTATTGCCAACTGCCAAGGAAAGCGATTGAGTCGAGATCTGAAGCGAACAGCTAATAAAATATACCAGAAGACAGAGATATGTTATCTTAATGATATTGGCAACTCTCCAGACTGGCAAAAAATGCCAAAAGTATAGATCTAGACTAGAATATAATACGACTTCTGGGAAACTAAATATGAGCTGTGTCCTAAAGAGTTTAGCGAATTAATAACCACTGCGGAAGTGAAAGGAACTATTTTTAAAGCATTACCTCAGGTACAATAGCCCCAAGACCATAAGCGATGCAAAATTCGGAGATAGGACAGACCAGTGAAAGAGAGAATCGAAACTTAACAAGATCTATATAATGGTTGGCAGCAGTAGCATTGTTGGATGAAAACAAAATGGCTTGTCAAGTTATTTAATGTGTAAACGAATATGCTCAGGTCCATGTAAATGATAAAGCTTGATATATAAACGGATTGCTTGCGCGTTCTCTGCTTACACAATGGAGTGAAAATTTGAAGAATTGTTTGCAGCACCACAAAATGATGTATTTATAAAACACTTTTGACATTTAAGTGAACAATTTTTTTTTATGACTACATATCTAATATAATATAAACAAAATATTTATATACTTACGAGAAACATTACAAACATCTTAGTTGAGCTTAGCTTTAGTCGTATGGCATTTTTTTACATTTACATTTGAGTTCAGCAAGAAGTTAGCCAGAATTAGTCCATTTCAGCTACTTTTCTCTATTCATTTCCAATCTTTAAAGTTTGTAGATTTTCATTTGGTATTTTGTGCAGTTTTATTTACATTGATTTTAATTGAATTGCAATTGGCTTTTGTCAACTTTTAGTATTTGATTTGAAAGAAAACAAAACGAAAACAGAAAAAAAAACTGTGATGAAAATGATGAGAAACGCAACATCAAGAAAACATCTTATGTATTATTGTATGCAAGCTTTTAATGATAGAGTTCAGTTTTGATTTATACCCTGTATCCATTTAAAAGGTGTCATATTGTATCAAGATATGGATAACGCCGTATATATGTCCATAAAATAAACGTATATGTGTGCTTATTCCAAGTAGTACGTCTGTCTGTATAAACCTGCCAATCTAAGATTGCATTTACGTTTACCATATGCAAATCAAGATTATTTCCAACTATTCATGTCTTTAAAGCATATTTTTAAGACGAGTTTGACAAACTTTTTTACCTGATGAGGAAGAGGTATGACTTTTTTTGTCCTGAATACAGGGTATCTGCTAGTCGAGCTTTTGCGGCTAGAGTATTCTTGTTTTTTTTCTTAGTTTATTTGTTTGTTTTCCTACGTTTTACTTTAATGTACTTTGTATACTTGTGTATTTTCATTGGACAAACCAAACAAAAAAGAAAGATATAATAATAATAAAAAAAATCAAGAACAACTCCAACAATACACTGAAACCGAAACTGACAATAAAACAATTAAAATGAGAAAATATACCACTTTTAATTCTGCTGAAAATGCCTGATCCCAGCCCCAAGCTCTTGAATCTTTAATGCGGTGTAGGTTGGTTTTTGCCTGCGGTGCCCCCCCCCCCCCCCCTGGACCCTTTGCCCTAAGCTACTCGACTACTTACCAACACCAAACTCCAAGTAACAGTTTAGCCACACGTTTCTCAACACTGTTTCGTCAACTGTTCACGCCGCTGCCTGCACTCGGGAACCCGCCGCCACAACACAGGCTATCAGGGCAACAGCAAGGAGGACTGGCGCCCAGGACCAGCCAATATGCCCATCATGTCGCCATCGCCGTATCTGCTCAGCCGCTTTACCAGCAACGTGCCGCTGCCGACGCTCTACGCCGGCGACTCGGCCCGCAAGCCAAAGCTCTCCGTGATCGAGCTGCTTCTGTACAATATGGCATCGGTACTCGCAGGCGTCGCCGCTGGCTATGATGTCCGCATGTCGAATGTCTCGCCCGTGCATCCCACGCTGCTCAGTGAACTGCCCGCTCTGAAGGCAGCACCCAAGGCCACTATCGAGGAGCAGGAGCCGGACCAGACCGACCAAAGCGAACAGCAGCTGGATGCGGCCCATCAGCTGGCCAACAAGAATAATGCTGTTCGGTAAGTGGATTATAAGGATATATTACATACTTTCGTTTCTTAATTTCGAATAAGTTAACAGGCACTTTAAGCAAACCTTTTTCAAGTTTCTATTAATTGATCGTTATGTTTAGCTTGCCGTTTAATAATTGACAATATGATATATTTTCTTTGAAGTCAAAGTTTACATCATGTTTATATGTTAGCATCTACTTTAACTAATCAAACCATTTTGGTTTTTTATTAATGTTTTCATCTGCTGATCTGCATGTTAGGCAGCATTTTCTATGTGCCTGTCATTATTACAAGTTACTCTTATAATGCTGTTTTTATCATCTCTTATCTCATGCATCTATTTGCCACTGCAGCTATTCGCCGCTGGACACGTCCATGGCCACGCCCAAGCTGCAGTCAGTGGCACAGCGGCGCGTGGGTGGCAGTCAAATTTATTACACACCCGTGCAGCGCACGCCGCAGCACCAGCTGCACCAGGCGTCGGTGGTGCCAACAACTGTGGCACAACCTCAGCCACAGGCCGTTGCGATGCTCTATGCAGGCTCACAGCCGCCGACGCCGTCGCCCCGCCGCAAGCTCAGCAGCAGCAGCTGCAACAATGCCGACGTTTTTGAGGAGTTTCGCGTGGGCGGAGGCATTGGGCCACCTCCACTATATGCCCCGGCCGATTATCTGCGCAACGGGCCCAGCTACTCCAACGATGGCGGCGCCTATCGTAATGGCTATTTTGGTAGGAGGCTCTCTCTCAATTTTGGGGCACACACAATTGATTCGCTTGCTCTTTTTGGTTGCAGGTTCCAATTATTTTCCGTATCGACCAGAGCTAAATTTCGCATATGAGCGCGATTGTAAATCGTATCCGGACTATTCGTACGACTACAATCATCGGCTGCCCGATTACTATGACTATCAGTATGAGGCGCCAGTGGTGCCGGTGCAGGTGCCGGCGGTGGCAGCGTTGCCGCCGCTCCAAACGCGCACGCCGCCGCCGCGCGTTCCCCAAATGGGGGTCAGTGCTGGGGGCCATCGCCGAACGCCCTCAACTGTGTCAAACAACTCGAATGTGCCGCTGGAGCACGAGGAGCTGCTCTACGATTACAACAATCTCAATCTTAATGTTAATCTCAATGTGGAATATGATTGCGAACCGCCGGCGCCAGCGAAACAAATCCCGACGGTGACGCCCACCAAACAGGAGTTCTACGCCGGTTCGCCCAAGCTAATCAATCGAATGCTGCACAGCCCGCTGGCCAGCAGCAAATATGCGCCTGTCACACGTCCCGCCAGCTTGCCCTTCGAGCAGCACACGCTCAGCTATCAGCTGCAGTATACGCAGCAGCAGCAACAACAACAACAGCACCCGACGCTGGCGCCGACGCCAGTGGCGATCAGCCAGGGCAAGCTGCGCAGCTCGCTCAAGAAGTACAACAGCAGCACGCTTAATGGCAGCATCTCGTCGCAGCAGGGCACGCCCACAAATCCAACGCCGCCCGATTCGCTCACCAGCGACGACAGCTCGTATTTGAGTGCCAAGGAGGGGTCCATAGGGTCGCAGCATAGTCGCGTGCGATTCAGCCCGGAGGCCTATTTGGATGCCAATACACTGCCCGTTGGCACGTTGGCCCGACGCATGACATCGCCGGGGATGACACAGTTGCCCCAACAGCAGCAGCAGCAGCATCAACGACGGCATCGACACACATCTAGCGCCAGCACACCATCGCCATCCGCCTCATCATCCTCCTAGCAGGCGCGTCTGGCGCTGACGCTGCAGTTGGCGCGCAGTCCCGGGGCGGACATCGGCAGCGCCGGTGGTGCCTCCGGCCTGGCTCTGGGCCTAGCGTTGCATCAGCAGCGGGTGCCATATCGCTGGTACTCGGGGGCGCGGCGTTCACGTTCCGCGCACTACGAGTACCGGCTCTGAAAGAAACGAGACGGCAATAGGGGATGCGAGTGGGATGGCAGACAGTTTTTAAGTACATTGATACCTCAAGCATGCGTGGATTAGAGCAAGAGCGCAGACCCACACACACACACACACGATTTAGATTTGATAGTACAGCTAATCCAAGAAAAGGAGCCGACGGTTAACACACACTTGACAGATCTGCTTTATAACATGCTGATATCACCAAATTGGCACTCTATGTCCATCTGAATTAAATGTGGATAAGTTTTTAAATGTCAACCGATTGGTCCTTGACATTTATTTTCCTGTCCGCCTGTGTCGATGTGTTGTACTCACCAAATCCAAAAATCTAAATCTGCAATATCAGCTTTAAATATTACCCGACTGAATTCCATATTGTCATGGAATAAGCGCGCCACAGAGATTTGCAATTAACTTAAAGGCACATATGTATATATGGCATATGAGAAAGGTTCAGTTTATTTCTACACGTAACTCAAATATATATATGTGCATATACCATATGGTATTTAGTCTTCAAGTTGTTTACGCGTAAATTTTATTATATGTATATAGATATATATATCAATATATATATATATATATATATATATATATATAATATGTATTGATAAATATGTATTTGTAAGAACATTATATACCAGAGTTATATACGACCCCTGACTTGTGCGATTTGCCTTAAATATAGCGTGAATAGAAGTTGAAACTCCGTGAGAAGTTAATCTCATTCATTCTTGTATGATTGGCCCAATGTTAAAGCTAATGAATAACGCGATATATATAATATATAAATATTAACCTATGTATGCAAGTATATAGTCGACTGTCCCCAATTGCGTTCTTTGATTAGATGCCAGCCTTATGCCACGCCCAAACAAAAGCAAAACAAAATAAAAACAAAAACCTTTAACAATAATACAACATGTAATTATAAACTAAACTACACCAATAACAACTCCATTTTTAAGTCTGAAGAAAATGTTTACACATACATATAGATATATATACACACATATATAAATAATATAAATATATATATGTAAATGATATGTAGCCCGATATAAAAGCGTTGCTAAATCATTAGCCGTAGTTTCAAAATAGTTTATCGATTTATAATCCCAAATGATATATACATTTGTATATGTATAAGCGTAATATAAAATAGGATAAAATAACGAGTTGCATACACATAATATATGTATGTATGTATGTATGTAGCATAACAAATTGTAATTCTGCGCTATTTTCCACAATTCGAAACATACATATATAATCACATGCAATTTGACTACTAAATCCCGATTGATATGCGATATACGCATGTGTATATCTACAGATATGTAAACTACTTATATATGCATATATATAGACACTCTTATATACTAATTCAATGTGTCCCGCTTATTATATACAATCGATTCGATTAGCAAGCATCGGCAGCGCCCTCTGGCGACAAAAAGCAACCTGTAGACGACACTTGCATTGCAAACACGCGTCACTAGATGGCGCTGCCATGCTAATCGAAAATATGAACTTATTTTTCAATGCCTGTTCTAATTTTGTTTGTTAAATGAATTGTTTGCATCAATAGCCTCTAGCTTGCGATAAAAGCTTAAACCTTATAACAGTTAATACTATTATTTAGACAAATTGTTGTTCATGCTCACAAAGAAGGGAATTTGAAACCCAAAACAATATGTTAAGCAAACCTTGCACTCACACAACTTTCGAACGAAGTATGTGCTATTTATTCAATTTGCCTAAAAACAAAATGTGAAACAAACACAAAATCAAGATAACAGAAACCAGTTAACCAATATTAAACTCGTAGCGTAATTGCCTTTTGTTGCACGATTCATTGATTATTGCAAGTTTTTGGCTTCTGTGTGTTTGAGTTGCACCTAAGTTCGGTCCTGTAGTTCGCGGTAGGTGCGAGGGCAGCAAGTCGCGCGCGCGCGCCTTAAGATATGCAATAATAAATGCTACTTGCGACTTATTTTTATGTACAAACTAGCAATTAATAATTAACAATTTATTTCGATCATTCAGAGACCAAAACCAAAACAAAAGACGAAGCGAAACATTATGAATAAACAAAACTATTTTTATACAAAACATTTTCCATTTACTTTTTTATGTAATTTAAGACAGGAAATAACGTTGAATACAGTTTATTAACCCTGTGTCCTCCAAGTCTGCAAATCAAACAAAAACCTTTAGGGTTTCGCTTCACGGTTCGAACCAACGCCTTACCTCAAGGTTAGGTTTGTGATCCTGATTTTCGGCATCTGGGAAGCCAGGTATGCGCCCGAACCTTGGTGCATCATATGTTTTATATTTTTCAATCGATCAAGTATATTTATGATATTCAGAGTACTGAAACTATCGCGAGCAGCATGCCAGAGAATAGCCAATTTTACAATATTATTTCCAAGCATCAAATAAAAATATTGCCTCAAACCCTGGGTTCGGCCAAAAAACCCAAACTTGCGAACTATAATTGAATGCCGCCTTAAACGGACATTGAAAAAACGAGGCTCAACGATATTAGCAATTAGAAATCTGTATGTAATTTAGACCAAAGTGTCAGACTGTCAGTTATGTTTCGAAAGGTTTCGGAAGTAAAAAAGTTACCAAAAGCACTAACATTGATTTTTACTTTTTTGCCTTAAAAACATTTAACAATTTTTAAAATTTCGGGAAACATTATTAATAATTACAAAAAAGTAAAATTAAACACCTTGAATACAGATTTTCGATTCTAGCTTAAAGTCCTCAAATTAAAAAAAAATAAAACGGTTTGTGCCCCGAATTCCAATTTCTGGTTTACCATAAGTCGAACCTGGATTAGCTGACTTTAATCCTTCACCTTCAAAAAATTCTTTGGTAATTTAATATGGCATAAATGTTTAATTTTTTGATTTTCGCTAAAGATAGTTTCGCAATATTTCGAGCATGAGTGAAATAATTTCAATAAATAAAAAAATATACGAAAATATAACATATTGTGTATGTTCCCATTTGCTACAAGATACGAGTTCCATATTATATTTTATATAATATATTAAATGCAAAAAATGGATAGTTCTACCTTATAAATTTCATTTAAATTAGGGATGAATGGGCGAACAATGATTGAAACCAAAACCTAGGTTCGTAGAACAGCTTCTTGAATTTTTAGTCAAGACATTTTTATATGCAGGTAAAGGGTATTATCATTTTGCCATAAGATATGTCCGATCCCATAAAGAGATGTCGGTACCGGCCGGATCGGAGCGCTAAATCAAATAGCTGCCATAGAAACGATGTGTTAAACAGGGGTTTTCTCGTTTGGAAAACTTTTTGGTATTTCAAGATATCTAGACCAAAACCGACATTTAAAAGTTTCAATATGCGCCCTACATATATGCAAATTCCTATCAACATCGAAACACTTTATCATAAAGCTGCCATAGAAACGATGGGTTGAAAAGTATGAACAACTTTTATTTGTTTATTAATATATCTTGCGATAGTATAATATATAATAATATATATTTGCGGAAGGTACGATCGGTCGAAAAGTATATTCTTGGATGGAGAACTTTTTTGTTTTTGAAGATATCTAGACCAAACTCGGAATTTATAAGTTTCACTATGCTCCCTACATACATGCAAAATCTTATCAACATTCCGACCACCATATCAAATAGCTGCCTTGGGAACAAAACGAAAAGTAGGTTCTTGTGGGGCAGAATATTCTGTTTTTCAATAGATTTTCATTAAACTCAGCATTTACGAGCATCACCATTATCACTTTTTCGTTATTTAACTATGTCCCTAATTTTATTGGGTTCGGGCGAATGAATATGTGTTATTCGTATCGATAGCTCGAGATAGGGCTGAGCATATTTGCGATAGTCGTATTTTGCCCAAATGACCACGAAAAAAGCACGGCCCGCGCAATTCTCTAGTTCAAATCGTATATCGAGCCATATTTAACTTTTCAAAGCTCGCAGCCTTCGAACTAGTATGCACATCTTCAAATGTCACATATAAAGCAATATTCACATAACTACTGAGCCAAAATAGAAAAATATTTGATTTTTTTTGCTGTTGATTCTCGCATTTGTCAAAGATCAAGAACATGACGACGTCTATTGAATTGAGCTCGTATCGTGACCAGCACTTCAAAGGCTCCCGCTTCGAGCAGGAGCGCTCCTTGCGAGACTCGACCACACTCTATGTTGGGAATTTATCATTTTACACAGCCGAGGAGCAAATACATGAACTCTTCTCACGCTGCGGCGATGTACGCATGATTGTGATGGGCCTGGACAAGTACAAGAAGACGCCCTGCGGCTTTTGCTTTGTGGAATATTACAAGCGAGCAGAAGCAGAAGCCGCCATGAGATTCGTAAATGGCACGCGACTGGACGATCGACTAATCCGTGTCGATTGGGACGCCGGCTTCATTGAGGGCCGTCAATACGGACGCGGCAAAACCGGCGGACAGGTGCGCGATGAATATAGAACAGACTACGATGCAGCCCGAGGCGGTTACGGCAAGCTTCTCACACAAAAGATTGCGCCCAATCCGGACAACCGCTAGAGAAAAGATAAACCGAGATTAAAGGAAGGGATTTCCCTTAAACCAAATACTTTATACCAAAGCCACAACATTTAATCAATCATTTATGTAAATGCAAGCTGGCTTAGACTTAAGGACTTTACAAATGTTTTTATTCAAATGTTAAATATATATTTATATTGGAAATCGGAACAAGAAAATGATAAGAAACAATGATAATCATCGGGGCGTCGAACAACTCCAATTTTAAAGTGATTGTTCCGACATCTTGTTCCTATTGGAGCTATATACATAGTAGGATATCAGTTTGATACGTTCTTTTGAAAATATTCCGATATTGTATGATAGTTATGTTGGACATGCTTTCAGAAGTTGTACCCAACAATTTCTGACCCTGTACTAAATATCAAGTTTATGAGGAAAACTCAACTTGGTTTCTAACGCATTTTCATATGTGAATCCGTGCCGGATGAAAAGAATAGCATTCCGCGATTTTTATACCCTTGTGGAAGTTGTTATAATTTTGTTATATAATAAAAGGAGGCAACTCCGAACCCAATAAATATATTTATTATTGATCAGTAACAATCGCCGAAGCTTTAGAACGAATTTCAGTATCCTAGCTCATTTTATCAGTCATGACAAACACTTTTTATGTGCATAATGCATAATGACATATGTAGATTACTTTAAAACCAAATCTTGTTTCCAGCTGGCAATTAGCTACAGTTTTCACTGAGATATATTGCAGAATCCATTGGCATTCCCTTTCTCTGGCAGCTACTGCTTCCCCCTCCGACGTACCCCACAGCAGCATCTCCATTTCTATCTGGCTAGCGCCCAATTGCTGGCCAGGTGCCCCAATTGATACAGGCTTTGTTTTTACCGTTGCCTTTTAGCAACTTGCCAAAGTGGAAAAAGTGGAATGGAAAGGCATCTGTTCGCCTGGCATCTGGCATCTGGTGGTCGGCAGCCGCTCGGCCGTCGGTGCTGCGTTCTTGTCTTCGGCTCACCTGGCGGCCACTGTTGGCCTGTTCTGGCTTGAATCTTTCGCATTTCGGTCCGCCAAATGTTCCTCTGCTCTTGAGCTGACAAGTTCAGTGCCGGCCGTCAGTTCAGGTGCACAATCGAGAATCTAACGTGAATTCTAATAAGTGCATAATTCGTATGCTTTGTTTTTCTTTGGTGCTCATCTGCCTAAAACTGTACAACAGTTTGTGGGTGTACGTGTGTATTTGTGTGTGCGCGTTGCGGCAATACTTAAACTAGGCTTAGACTTGGACATGGTAATTTCATCTGGTAAGTCAAGGTCTTTTACTACCAAATAAAACCTAAGTAGCGCTTGGGGCACATTTGCATTTTGTCCGAACACAATAGATCCAGTTTTTGTTTGGATTTCCGCCTCACTTAAAATTGGCCTTCGCCTATTTTCCAGCTGCAGTTGCCGCCAAAAACCTGTTGGCGTGTGCCACATAGCCAGTGCAAAAAGTAAGCCACTAAAATCAGAACACAAGTCTCTCGGGAATCTAGGCTGGAGAGCCAAGCCACTGTGCCTAACCATCATGATTGAAAGAGAGGGACAGAGAGAGAGGGGATCATATTAATTTTGTATACCCATTGCAATTGGGTAAAAAATATTGGTTATATTGGTTTTGTACAAATATGTATGTATGTGTAAGGGGCAGAAGGCCGAGTCTATTTAGCCATGTTTATCTGTGTCTGTATGTCTGTTTGAGCGCGCCGATCAATAAAACTATTACAGAGATTATTAATTTGGAACTTAGGCCAACATTTGGCAGGCAGCCATCACATTTACACATACACATCACACATACACACAAATTTGAAAGGCATTTGTAGGCCCCTAGGTATTTCTTGAAAATCGTGGAATTTTAAATCTACCCGACCTATGTTAAACTCCAGGTCTTCAGTCATTTTTTAGAGGGATATTTGAAAATGAGTTGGAAATCCATCGAATTAAGATCCAAAAGTCGGAATCAAAGTTATCACATGGTAAGAATCTTAAGAATGAATGTTCACAAAGCTCTTCGAATGGTAAACAACTTATATGTATACAGCCGTTTTCCTGCAAATAACCACAGTTGCGAGTGGAATTTTCAAAAAAAGCCAAATCAATAAGTCCGTATGTAGAGCAGGTTACAGGGTATCTTCTAGTTAAGCTTAATCTCCACACGAGCACTTTTACTTGTTTTCTTTTAACAAAATCATCTGCTGCTTCATTAAAGCAAAGAACTCTGCACCGAAGATTAAATACACTGGTATTATTTTGGCTTGCGAGTGAGGAGGGGAATGGTAAGTTCAACTCGGCTGCTGACACTGATCAAGAATACAAATACATATATACTTTATGGGGTCGGCGATGTCTCCCCCTACGCGTTACACTTTTCATGAAAAAATTATAATACCCCACAAGGGTTTATTTGAAAACAAAACGAGATACTCTTTCGCTGTTTTAGATAACAAATAAATTCAACACATTTTTATATTATCTCTATATATAAAACTGTTTGTCCTGACTGACTGACTGACTGATGCTGACTGACTGACTGACTACTATTGGTGATCAACGCACAGCCCAAACCGTAAGAGCTAGGAAGCTGAAATTTTCACTGTAGTTACCTCATGTGATGAAGGTGCACGTTAAGACGGGGTTTCGGGAAATTCCACTCGCAAGTGTGGAAAAATCGCGAAAAACGTTTGTATGTAACTTTTTTGTTTACCATCCGATCAGCCCCAAACTTATTTTCAAAGATATTTGTTCAAATTCATTTGAGGGGTGTTTCGCACTTTTCGGAAAACCCATTCCTCCTTGGTGGAAATGGAGGTCAGAGATTTGGTGGGTGACGTTTCGCGCTCAAATTCATTTCCAGTGATCTATATGAAAAATCATTTGAGACGTGTTTCTCACTTTTCGCAGAATTCAAACTTCTTCGGGGGGAATGCGATTTAAAGATTTTTTGGGCGGCGTTTTAAGTTGTGTCCGATTTGCTTCAAACTTATTTTTAAAGCTCTTTATAAGAACTTAATAAGTACGTATTTCAGCGGTTTGGAAAATTCCACCCGCAACAGTGGTAAATTGGCGGAAAACGGTTGTATGAAAGTTTTTTGTTTACCATCCGATCGGCCCCAAACTAATTTTCAAAGATCTATATTCAAATTCATTTGTTTGTTTTAAGTTTGTTGATTTTATAACATACGTGCCACGGGCAAGGCCGGGTTATACCCGCTAGTTATTCATATAAGAACTTACAGTGGACACTACTTTTGGCTATCGGCGTTTGGTTAGTGCATCTGCATAGGATTATCTTAGATAGCTTGAAGCAAAGTGAATATCAACTAACTGTGTAATCAATGTTGTTTAAAATGTATTAAAAAATATTTTAAAAAAAATAAAAATTAATTTGTCTTGTCAAAATAATAATTATGCCAACCACTGTATATGGATAGGAGTCGCGTTTCTTCTGCCAGCGTAATCCGTTCGAATTTGGAATATTATTTGAGTAACGATAAACAAAATGAATATAGATACGAGGCAAGTGCTCATTTCTCGTTTCTGATTTTCTGTATTAAATATCAATAATATTTACAACAGGAAGAATGACAATCTTCGGCACAATGCATACTAAATACCCTTTTATATACCCAAGCAAGGCTTCCAGAAGATAGTTTTAAAACTGAGAGAATAGCTTGCATAGAAACAGGCTGACTACCAGACGGACTTGGCCTTATTGACTCGGCCGTTGACACTGATTAAGAATATATATATATTCTTAAGGGGGTCAGAGATGTCAGGCTTTACGTGTTTCAATTTTCATGACAAAATAGTAATACCCTCTACTAAGGTAAAATTGTCCCATATTTGAAGCTCACATTGTCACCAGAGTTTCGATAGACCATTCGTAGGTGCCAGTTGGCTTTATAAATTTGACATACAATTTTTGTCTAGTCTAAGTAAAGGTGAAAAGCAGAAAACTTTTAAAGAAAAACACCGATTTTTGATACTTTCATCGTGCATTCCATTATCAAACGAGAAAAAAAGGCACGCCGAACATTAAATATTATTAAGTGAATGTCGAAAATGCTCAAATTGGTGAAAATATCTTGGAAAACAGATTATTTTGCAATACAAAATTCATGTTTAAAATTGAAAGAAAAAAAACCTGGATCGGGCATATATGCATATACACACAAAAACACACGCAAGCAAGCCGAGTATATACTTAAAATCACAAAAAAGCTCAGAGAGATGCTCAAAAAAACAAGACGTCGATGGGAAATGACGGCCAATGTTCCAAATTTATAGTCCCTACCTCTAATAAGTAGTTTTCTTGATCGACGCGTTATACGGACACAGATGGACATTTCTGATGATTCCTTCTGCCTTTTATACATACATATTTGCACAAGACTAAAATACCCTTTTTAGCCATTTGATATAGTTGATCCCAATCTCGATGTTCCGGTACAGCGACATAGCTCTCCGGCCTATATGTGTATAAATGTGTAGATATCTGTAAATATATATGTATATTATATGTATGTTAACATATATTGGTACCAGCACATGGAACAGCCCTATTGTCCCCGTTGCAGCGCAATTAACAAACTAAGTACAAACTGGAATCATTGTTGATCTCGCAGAGAAATATTTTAGAGCATTAACAATTGGGTTTTAAAGAAAACTGTCACCAGGGTCACGCAATTTGTTATGGTTTTCTTTTCCTTGTGAGTATAACAAGTAAACACATCAATCAATTGATTGACGCGGGAGCCGCAGATCTTCCGCTTGTTTGTCTGGGGCTATTGACGTAATGTTGGCAATGCGCACATATACTAAACCAACTGGTACTTCCCTGCCTTGCCCGGTTCAACTTTCTTGATTTCAATTTTAGACATTAATTTTAAAATCAACTTTCAACTCCTCGTCTCAAGCTATATTTGAGAAGGATCAAGTCCTTTTCTCATCCCATAAGGGTGGATTTTGCGAAAAGTGTAAAACAAGTCGTAAATGGGTTGTCATCATCTTCGAAAACGAGCTAGAAGCCGATCGGATGGTTAAGTTAGTCTGGACTGTGTCTTATAGATAGAGACATATTTGGCCTCAAATAACTTCAGGCAAAACGATACAGTCAAAAAGTTTTGGGAGTTGATAAGCTAGGATTGGCATTCCATAGGGTTCCTAGTGAACCGAAGCGCTGGAAAAATACTTTACAAAGAACTTTCCAAGGCGGTATTCTCTACTAATTTGTATGGGTGTATAGCTGCGAGTTATTTTTATTGGAAACCTAGTGAAGGGTCCAGTTCCTAATTATTGCCGTTGTATTGGTTAAAGTCTTTAGGCTTGTACAGGGCGAGTCCTGGCTTATCTCGCTATACCGGAACATCTGTAGTTGCTTTGCTATGACCGTAACTTCGAACGTTTTTTGAAGTCTAGTAAATACAATAACTTGTATACTTTGTAAAAATTAAAGGCAAATCGCTCCAGAAAAACTCTGACTTTTCAGCGCTCCTCAGAGTGACAACCAAATTTAGATTGTGTTGCGTTTCAAAATTATTGGTAAGCCTCAAAAATAATCCCAATCACCCAGTTAAGTCATGTTGCGGGCGCGCCGCGTGATAGGCGACCAGGACAGTGCCCATGATGAGCGCATGTGTTGGATCTGCTTGAACACAGATGAGGAGAGCCTGCGACACGACTGGCTGCAACCGTGCCGCTGTCGCGGCACCAATAAGTGGGTGCACGAGGCTTGCCTAAGTCGCTGGATTGACGAAAAGCAGCAGATCAATCCGGACGTTCCGGTCACCTGTCCCCAGTGCCACACCGAATACATAATTGTAATGCCACCGGTCTGCCGATTTGATGCACTGCTGGAGCGGGTGGAGAAGACCTATGGACTCCTTTGTCCAAGCATATTGATGGGCATGCTGGCGACCGTTGTGTACATAGCGACACTCTCCTACGGAGCGCTCACACTGCACCAAGTAGCTGGCTACGAGACAAGCATTCAACTGATGAAGGAAGATCCCACATTGCTAATGATTGTGCTGCCATCGGTTCCAGCCGCACTGTTGCTGCTGCGCCGCTTCGATTGGGATAATTGGATGGTCCGCTGGCTGCGCCGTCGTCAACGGCAATCTCTGCCGCCGGAACACTTTGATGAGTACGGCGAGCCACTACCCGGCGCCCCACTAAGTGATGACTATTTTGATAGGCAGGAACCGGTAGATGCCGACGATATGCTGCAAGGTGGTGCCCTAAACGCCGAGAATATTGAGCGGGCCACCTGCCGCTTCTGCACGGCCCTTAGTCTACCCACCTTTGCCGTGCTCATTGGACAGACTCTATATGGCAATATAAACAGCAAATTGCTGGGCATAGTGATGGGTGCCGTCACCTTTGAGGCCATCAAGGGTCTGATCTGTGTCTATTTACGACAATGCCAGTATTACCGCCGACGTTACCGTAGTGTACTCGACTATACACCGGAAAATGTGAATCGCAGCGGCAGATCCATCTAGTTGCGCCGGGAAACCTTCGCATTTGATGTTAAGTTTGATATGTTTCAAATAAAATTTGTATTTTCAACGGAACAAAGTTCTCCAGAGTGCTCCCCTTTTGTATCCTCTCCAATCCAATCAATCGACAACTAGCGAGCGTTTGGCCAAGACGAGCGTTATTGTTTTCAATTTTTAATTTAAATCACAAAACTAAAGTTTGACTATGATACCAAAGTGGAGCTTGAATTAATAGTACACTGAAGGCTTAAACTGAACCAACTGCAAGGCGCGCTTCATAAGCCAACGGGCTATTCGGAAGAACCCACGGCCGCTCCCAGTTCCTGCTCCACTGCCGGAGCTAGCGCTGCCGCTGCCGCTGCTTTCTGTGCAGCTAGCTAGGTTGGGAAAGTACCGATTCACTTTGATTGATTTGTTTTCAGTAAAGAGCACTAAATAGCGCACACGCAAACAGGACGGGTCGAGAATAACAAACTCGGCCGGCGTCTGGTCCTGCAATTGTGTCTGCTCATGCTCCAATAACTCACAGATTATAAGACAGCGTGGTGACCGGCCAAAGCGTGAATTCGTCCAGCCATGGCGCATGGCGTGACTGTGCACTCTGCCACCGCTGCCTCTCGCTGTTCGTAGAGCCGCATCGGACTGGGCAAGTCTCGCATGATTAGCAGTCAATAGAGCATGTGCAGCGGACATCCGAGATAGGCATAACGATTGCTGAGCTTTACATACAGAGCTCTGCTCGTCCTTATAGCTAACCCTCAGCACCTGTGAGGGAAAACGAAACGGTCGTGGCAAATGCAGTTTTCTACATAGCCGGCGCAGACGTTGACCGCAGACCCGGCGCAGATCCGGATATGCCAGCCAAACGAGAACCCAGTGCATCAGGTGTATGTAGCCGGCGCCTGTTTCGGCCAAGAGTTTGAACCGTTCGGTGCAACTCAACCTTTCCAGCATTTGGCTGCAGCAGGGCGAGGCGACGCCCGCACACAGGCCTGGCGCTCCAGGACACCCGTCTAATCGTCCATGAGCTTTGAATGCTTTAGTATTGGCCTTTGTGCACAAGCTCATTGTCCGCGCGCAGCGTTAAATTGCTAGTGGCAAGTTTAATTGGGTCAACGGTTAGGTTATATGGCTAAGGGCAACTTAAATCTGGCATATAGTACCCTAGATCCACCTTTGTTTCTCGGAGTACCGTGGCCAACGAGAACGTCAGCGCTGTTGCGCCCCTCATGTTGCAGTTCCATAATCTATAACAATTGCAATTTTGTTCTTAAAGGGCTCTGTTCGAACAATATACATAAATTAAAGTCCAATCAAAATTAGCATAATAAAAGGCTGCTTTGTTTACTATTAACCACCCAAATGTATTAAATAATATAAGTAGTAAAATTGACTTGTTACAGCAAGCATATTTATTAATAGAAATTAAAATTAGCAATAACAAAATTTAACGTCACCAATCTCTCAGATTACATACAACAAGTGTTGGTTATCATCAAAACGTGTATTTACAAGTAGACACAATCGTATAGGGCGGGTCAATGCAATAACAGCAACTATCTGGAATGTAAGCAACAACAGATACGCCCACTTTTGCACACACACACACACACACTCACACCCTACGGTAAATGCTTGCACTTAACATGAATTTGAATTTGTAACTGTGCAAATATCTCTGGCGCAGGACCGACTGAGTTATCGATCAGTCGATCGGCGTTCCCTCATCAAAAGCATTTAACAAGTGACCAGGCTCAAAGGTTGCCATGACGGTTGAGGATGTTTTGCAAAACTGGAAAGTTTTCCCCATGACGCATCTTCGTCTAAGCAATAACATAAAATCGGATTTAACAAAACAAACAGAGAAATGCGTTCTGTCATTACGGGTCGCTGTCAAAGGGTCATCAGCAATAACTACGTCAATGTGACGGAACACAGAGACAAGACACATCAATTAATATGTCACACATATGTGTACATACATTTGCATGCACATAGTACCTTCGAGACCTGATAACATGGTCGAGAGTAAAGTACAAAATTCCAAAGCTTTACTTTTTTTGATTAAAGAAACATTTTTGTTGAATTTAATAATCACTTTCGTTTTTATTGTTTTTGTAAAATTTTAAACACTAAAAAATACTAGACTAAACGTAAAGCATAATTAAAATCAAGGCAACTGAGTTGTTACATAGTATATGCCACAACGCTTAATAACTTAGGGACGTTGGGAGAACAATTTTGTTATATTTTTTAACTAGGCATATGCATACTAACTGCTAGATCAACTATGTTAGCTACAAACTATTTAAAACTTTGTTTTACAGGCAGCCTATGTTCGTATGCTTAAACTACGAATACGTAAAAGTTATATATTTGTATTGGCTATTACGCACTATAATAGCACTCGAAATATATATGTATGTATGTAGTATATATATGAAGTAGACGACTTAATACATAAAACTGTGTATTGGTATAGTAGAGTATAGTTTAGTAATAAGTTGTCTGTAAGTACGAGATTAAAGTTTAGCAATGCTTAAGTTGTTTCGCCCATCTGTGCTTTCAGATTAATTTACCAATAGGTTTCAAACTTAATGGCAAATTAGATGTATTTTGCTCTTTCTTGTTTAAGCTGGAAAGTGCGCAACTTCAATGCGAACAGGGTGCATTTGGCAGATAATTCGAAATGCAACGCAAAAAACAGGCTTTGGGTTTTTGGCTGCGTTTTACATACATACATACATGCTATTTACTTTCGCATTAACTGTAAGGAAATAACAAAGATTGTTGCTTTCAATAGACACAAAGCAATATTTGAGAATTTACCTGATGCGGAATTTAAAACTTCTTATTATTTTTGAGGTAGGCCTTGTGGCTGACCACCTCTCTGAGGCATTTGTCCGAGTCGATGCCTTTGCCTCGCTGCTGGCACACTTTTTCCGTTTTAAGGACAAAGCACTGAGTTTGCACCATATTGAAGAAAAGCTTGCCAATGGTATTGGCATCCTCGTCACTGGCCATTTTGAGGCAGGTGCGGAAACGTCGATCGCAGCTGCAATGCGACAGCGTATACGGGCGATAATTGAAGAGTTCGTAACGATTAGACATGGCCGGTATGTAAATCTTGCAGTGGTCATGCTTCCGACAGCATTTGTCAGCCAGCGATGCACCTCCCAAATGATTATATGTGCCATTGGCCAAGTTACCGCGCCCGCACCAGCGCGTATTGGGCGCTATGAACCAATCGGACACTTGGCGACGTCTGCGCGAGGGGGCCATGTGTGCGTCTGCAATATTGTCGTCATCAATATCGTACGATTCGTGACGTAGTTGCTGGGCGCTGCTGCTGCTGCTTATTCGTGTTGGTGTTGTTTTTGCTGTTGTTGTTGCTGCACTTGCAGCGGCAGCGACATTGGCAGGCAACGGCAGCTGCTTAGCCGCGCACAGCTGCCAGGCGAACACAATTAGACACAGCAAATAAATGTAATTGCATTTTAGTGCGAATTTTGGTGCCATTCTGTCAATTTGTCTGTCAGTCAATTGGTTTTCATTCAATGCTATAACGTATTCTCTTTTAAGGTTTCGCGCTGCGGCACGCTTCCTACTCAAGTGTCGTTTCGACTGCGAGACGCTGGCGTTTTATGTGCTCGCACGTTGCAGCTCGACTGGCGATTACGATTCGTGTTAAGGGTACGCGCAGGTGAATAGCTTATCTTTCTCCGAACAGTGCTGTGCAATGGAACAGGTGTTTAGAATCCAGTGTAGCGAAACTTACGCAAAAGCTCGCTGCTAGTACTATAAAGCAAAAGTCTCGCATTTTCGAGAATGCGAATTCGAGTATTTATTGTGCACAGGTCGCTAAACTCACATTCACTGTCTATTTAATAAAAATGCGCTGATAAATTGCGGTGGAAGTGGAACATTGCGCTTTTCGCGTTGTAAATGCGAATTGATGTATGGAAACAAATGGAAACAACTCATTACTCAGCTGTTATAGTGTTTAGCAGTTGACAACACTGGCCAGCAGCATCAATATTTTTGTGGTAGTCAACTAAATTTAATTTTGAAACAATTTGGGGCTAGCTTGAGTACGGCGCATGCATGTACGTTTTAATGAAATGCAGCGAACTCAACAGGATCAAAAACAATTGAAGCTGCACCAGCAGCAGCAGCAGCACACAGAACTGGACGAGCAGCAGCAACAACAACAACAACAGCAGCAGCAGCACTATCATCATCATCACCACCAACATAACAGTAACAGTAACAGCAATGGGACGCGCATTGCTGGTAGCAGTAATACCACGCCCACAATGCCAACGAATGCAGCTGGTGGCGCAACAGCAATGACACCGCCCCGGACCTTGGCGCTTAATCGGAACTATGCTGCCTCTGACACATCGGGGGAACACGATGGCGACACAGACTATCCGGACTCGCGGTATGAATGCGCCATTTGCATAGACTGGCTGAATGAGCCCGTGCTGACGTCATGCGGCCATCGCTTTTGCAAGAGCTGCCTCAGCGATTGGCTGGAAAATCACAACCAGTGCTGCCCACTTGACAATAAGCAGCTCTCCGCGGAGCAGGATATCTTTCCCGACAACTATACGCGTCGTGAAATTGAGCAAATCAAGCATAAGTGCCCTAACTCGCCGCACGGCTGCGCCGTTGTTGCCTCGCCTATTGAGCTGCATCGGCATTTGCCCAGCTGCCCGTATCGCCGGCAACTGCAACAGCAGCAGCTCGAGGAGAAGTGCCCTTTTGCTAGCATTAAGTGCGATTTTGTTGGTCGCCCGGAGACCAATCAACTGGAGGAGCATATCAAAACAGATATGCCGCATCACATGCAACTCATGTTGCAGGCATTTCAACAAACTGCCATTGCTACTTGGCAGCCGCAGAAGCCCAGCTCTAGCTCCCTAGAGAACGGCCACAAGACTGGCCAGCTGCCACCACCACCACAATATGCGAATGGAGTTGACGAGCAAATCGTTCAGTCCATGTACCAGCGCATCGTTGTGCTTGAGCAACGTACACGCGAGCAGGAGACACGCATCGAGAATCTCAACAAGCAGTTGCGGCGCCAGCAGCCTATCGACGCCCGGTATAGCAACGGCACCATCGTCTGGCACATAGAGCAGCTGAGCGCACTGGTCGAGCGTCTGCGATCCAATGCGAATAACCAAGTTTATTCACACGATTGCTATACATCACCATATGGATACAAGTTCTGCGCTCGTCTCAACATACAGCCGCGGAAGCCGCATGTGCTTAGTCTACACGTGCATCTGATGCAGTCGGAGAACGATTTCCATTTGGATTGGCCATTCAAGGGTCGGATCAAGCTGTGCATGGTGCATCCGGGCGATGCGAGCCTCTCCCAGCATGACACCATCATGACAAAGCCAGAGATTCTCGCCTTCCATCAACCGCGCGAGGCCATCAGCACTCGCGGTTTTGGATTTCTCGAGTATGCCAACATATCCAATATTATGCAATTGGGCTTTTGTGCCGACAATCGGCTGCTAATCAAGATTGAGATCAACATTGTCTGAATCTCAACCTGAACTCAAGTAACCACATCGCATGTGCTCAATATTCAAAAATACGCACAGAAATGCATAGATACACAATAGACGCAATATATATATTTTATATAGACCTTATACCCTGTACGAATATTAGTCACACGGAAGGCAAAACATCACAGCAAAGCAATTTTTATACCGTAGTTTAGAAGCGACTTTATCTCAACTGATATATGTACAATGCATATATGCATATATAATAGCAATTTGAACAAGCCAATTTTTGTATAAATTTACACGCATTTTATTGTTAAACAATTGAGGGCAACTGTTACCTTCCATGCAACTTGAGAATACCCTGCCCAAGTTGCATATTTTGTATCCACATTCCAGTTAACACCAACAAAATGTCGAAGATGTTGGCAGAAGACCTCAGATGGTAATCAATAACAGTATCCAGTCATGCTACACCTACCCTAATACCCGTCTATATATTTTATTAAGTCAGTCTTATTAGTTATTTTGATTGTGGTTTATACTTTTAATTAACTAGTTTAACGATTTTTTTTTTTAATTTAGTTTGTTATTTTCATATGCTGTTTATAAAACACTTCCAGTCATTCTCATTGATTTTATCAATTGCAAACACAAAAACGTCCATTATGTTATAAGTTGTTTAATTATTTATATTTTTGCATAGGTGACCCTTTAATCTTGGCATCTAAGGAGTAATATTCATGGCTGCATAGATACTACAAATATAAATATTTATATACATAATAGATACACACAGGCAATATATTGCATACATTTAGATAAGCAAATAATAATGTAGTACTAAAATAGTGATGGCTACACAAATAATAAAGGAAACTTTTGTATCGACACGGATTGGTTATTTATATAAAGACCTACACGTAAAAGCGCTTCATTTTGATACCATGTTCCCATTAAAAATACAAATACAGATCGGTTGATCTAACCATCTGTATGAACGCCTCTAACCAGAAGACTAAACGAAATAGAGACTTCAAATTTGGTATCCTGGCTCTAGTAATCGCAAATATATGCGATTTTTGGAAAATAGGTAGAGCTGTTGAAAAACAGTAAAGTAGCACGTTTGCCATTAAAAAAAAGTTGTTCTAAAAATTAAACAAATAAAAGTTATACATTCAAGAAGAATGTAACATTTTTGTATAAATATTTTTTTACACAAGCTGGAGACTTGAAATTTGAAATATATATTCTTTTCTACTATACGCAGAAAATGTTAATCATTTGTTTGTCAATTTCTCGCACCATTTAGATAATATCAATAGGCAGTCAAATTGGAGACATGATTATTTAGCATTATTCAAATAAAAAAATTACTATTCTTAAGGGCTACTTGTGTAGGTTCTCATCTCTTTATATAAAACTGTTTGTCCTGACTGACTGATTGACTGACAGATTTGTGATCATAACGTAAGAGCTGGGAAGCTGAAATTTTCACTATAGTTACCTTAGGTGATGAAGGTGCACGTTAAGACGGGGTTTCGGTAAATTCCATCAGCAAGTGTCGAAAAATTGCGAAAAACGTTTGTATGAAACTTTTTTGTTTACTTGCGATCGGCTTCAAACACATTTTCAAAGAATGGGTGGTAATGGGGTCAAAGATTTGGTGGGTGACGTTTCGCGCTCACATTTATATCCAAGAGTCTATATGAAAAATCATTTGAGGCTTGTTTCACATTTTTCGCAAAATCAAAGCTTCCTCGGTGGAAAGTGCGATTCAAAGATTTTTTTGATGAAGTTTTAAGTCTTTTCCGATTTGCTTTCAACTTATTTTCACGATTTGGAATATTCCACCCACAACAGTGGTTAATTAGTGAAAAACGTTTGCATGAAAGTTTTTTGTTTACCGTCCGATCAGTTTCAAAATAATTTTCAAAGCTTTTTGAGAACATTTATTTTACACGTCCCACGGGCAAGGCCGGGTTATACCCGCTAGTAAAGTATGTACAGATTAAAAGTACTTTAGTTTTATAATACCTCTAACCTCTTCCCCAAAATTGAAAAAAAAAAACTATTTGCGCTTTGGTATTCACATTCATGTTTACATTCATGCTATAAGCACCGATGCTAAAGAAGAATACATTTCCAATAGTGTGGACTAAAGTGAAAAAACGCAGCCACAGCGAAACTTTTCATAAATCGGCGTGCATACAAGAAGGCTAGAATGTTTGGCAGGGTAGCTCAGCGCGGGGTTCAGGGTGTCTCCCAGGCGGGCACAGCCGACTAGAACACTCTTAATGGCTTTTTGAGTTTTCTCTTTAGCAAACGCTGCCATGATTATTTGGGTGGCTACCTACTACCTATCTTGTACTTTCATGCATCATTTGCTGCTATTGATATATTACATCCTGGATCTCTCTATCTCTCTCGGTCTCCCTCTCTTTATATAGGCAATTATATTCAGAAAAATATTTAAGGTAGATTTATATGATACATTTGCATTTCCGATTTGATATTTACATTGCAAGCCCCACTTGAGGTTAATGTGATTATGCTATACACAGCGGAAAACTATGTTACATGCCAGCTGCCCGCAGCCGCAACGGCAACAACTTTTACATGCTGCTCCTGGATCAGCTCAATTGTGACAGACTCCTCCAGCAGTTTCTTCGTATTTACGCCCTCGACTTCGATTGGCGTTGCTGGCTCCACGGTCGACTTCGTAGTTGCTTTGGCATTTGCTCTCGCCCTGGCCCGGGCGGACTCGTGGGTACGTATGTGAGCATTAAGACCGCCTGATTGAGCGAACGTTTTGTCGCATAGCTGACATGAATATTTTCGCTGCTCGGAGTGCAGCATCTTGTGAACGCGAAGCGCTTTTTTACGCTGAAACGTAGAGCCGCAGACATCACAAATGAAAGGTCGCAGATTCGTGTGGGAGACTGCGTGAACGTTGAGGTCGTGAAAGCTATAGAAGGCCTTGCCACATACCTCACACTTAGCGGGTCGTTCGCCGGTATGACGCCGCATATGGGCAGTGAGTACGCCGCGATCCCGACAGGGACGGCCGCACACCTCACATATACAGGGCATGCGACCGGTATGGCAAATGTTGTGCGACGTCAGCTCCTTTTGCGTATAGAAGGTTGCCCCGCAGTCTGGCTCCTGGCATTTGTACGGTTTGATGCCGCTGTGTCGCTGGCGATGGCGCATCATGTTGCCGGACTGAGTGAACGGCTTGCCACAGATGTCGCAGAATATGCCCGTGTGCTTCCATCGATGACCACGCAAATCGCGCTCCGTACGAAAAGTCTGATTGCACTCAATCTCATCGCATTTGTAGATCTTGGCGGGGCCCTTCCGTGTTGCCCTGCGAACGTTGCCCGCTGTAGCTGGTGCTATTTTTGTTGGCTCTCCTGCAATCCTGTGAAGTTTTGCTGGCTTGCGAACATTGTGTTTGCCGCGCTTGTGGCTCTGAAGACTTCGCTTGGTGTTGTAGGCGCGGTCACATTGATCACACTGAAAGAGCATGTCCCTTGTGTTGTCCTTCTCATCATTGTTATCAGAAGCAGACTCCTCACTGACTACAAGGCGGGCATCTAGATGTCCGTTCATAACTGTTTCATTTTCTGAGGTCTGCGTTTGCAGCTCTACTATATTCTTTAGTGCTGCTTCCCGTCGCCAGCGCCGGGCTTCAATTGTGCTAGTGTCATCCAAATCTTCAAATGCAGCAGTAACATCTGCATCTTTGTCAGTCTCGTGCTCCCGGTCAAGTAGAGCTATCTGTGCCAAATCAACATGTATATGCTCATTAGACTCATGAAGCTCGTCATGTGCAATTGGATCATCCTCGGACTTAATGATTAACGGCTCGAACTCCACCGGCGCATCCAGATGCTGTTCTTCTGCCTGTTCAGTGAACAACTTGCAGTCTTCAGTCTCCTTTTCTATCTCCGTCAGATGAATCCGGCGAAAGTGCTGAGGAAATCCTGCATATGGCACCCGCTGGCCACACAGCGCACAGCACACATCGTAGTTTGTGGGGCTAACGCAAAGCACCTCACCGCAACGAAAATTAAAATACGGCCGAGCAAAATCAGGCTGCAATTTAATCATCCTGTGGCACACTGATTGCAGTAGAGTTGCTTTAAAATTGGGCCCATTTAACTTTGGAGTCGCATAAAGCTCCAAATTGAAGCCGCCGTCGCACCAAACACCTCACAGCTGTAAATCGATGACCCTTTCGATTATTATATTCTACTTAGCTATCGATGTGTGTTTTTTGTACTTTTAAAACATTGAAGTTAACATTAATGCTCCAGCCTTCATTAATGTCTCCCATAGCTTATAATTTAATATCAACTATATTAACATTTATTACCTTAATACAATAGTTGGTTTATTCCATTTAAATCGATAGTATACGTTCAGTGTTGTATACAACGTTCAAAACAACATGCATTTCACACACTGGCAGCAACCGCCCGTTGTGTATTCGGGTATACACTTTTTTTCTTACTGCAGCCACTGTATTGATTTTTCGCCCCCGCTTTTGCATTGAACTTTACGGCACAAGCAGGACATAAACATAAAAATCAATTGTCAAAATGTCGGACAGCGCCGCTTCAGCCAGCAATGCCAATGCAAATGAGAAGATGGCAAGCTTGCTGAAGGAGGCGGAAAATTTGAAAACAAAGTTGGAAGAGGAGCGCCAAAAGCTGAACGATGTCAATCTCTCGAACATTGCGGAAAGGCTGGAGCAGATTGCTTTCGTGAACATAAAGCCCCGCAAGGTGCTAAAAGGTCACCAGGCCAAGGTGCTTTGCACCGACTGGAGTCCTGATAAACGACATATTATCTCATCATCTCAGGATGGACGCCTTATTATTTGGGATGCGTTTACCACAAACAAAGAGCACGCTGTTACAATGCCCACAACTTGGATAATGGCATGCGCCTATGCACCATCTGGTAATTACGTAGCCTGCGGTGGACTGGACAATAAAGTAACCGTATATCCGATTACCTCGGATGAGGAAATGGCCGCTAAGAAACGGACCGTTGGCACACATACCAGCTATATGTCATGCTGCATCTATCCTAACTCTGATCAGCAAATACTCACCGGTAGCGGGGATTCAACATGCGCGCTGTGGGATGTAGAATCTGGGCAATTGTTGCAAAGTTTTCATGGTCACTCCGGCGATGTTATGGCTATCGATTTGGCGCCAAATGAGACGGGCAATACCTTTGTCTCTGGTAGCTGCGATCGCATGGCGTTCATTTGGGACATGCGCTCCGGTCATGTGGTGCAGTCCTTTGAGGGCCACCAATCGGATGTGAATAGTGTTAAATTCCATCCATGCGGCGATGCCATTGCAACCGGCTCCGACGACAGCAGCTGCCGCCTGTACGATATGCGCGCGGATCGCGAGGTTGCGGTCTTTGCCAAGGAGAGCATTATTTTTGGCGTCAACTCGGTGGACTTTTCGGTCAGCGGGCGTCTGCTCTTTGCAGGTTACAATGACTATACTGTCAACCTGTGGGACACGCTGAAATCGGAGCGCGTCTGCCTTCTGTATGGCCATGAGAATAAGGTCTCCTGCGTTCAAGTCTCGCCCGATGGCACTGCGCTATCGACAGGCAGCTGGGACTACACTATACGTGTGTGGGCCTAAACTCTCAGACATGCATAGTATATTATATGTATGTACATATATGTAAATTGAACCTGTTGAGCACGCTCCTACGACTGCTCCCGCTGCTTTCAAAATGTATGTAAACATTTCGTGTTTTTTTTTTTTGTGTAATATTACAAGTGTTACGCTATATACTATATACTTTAAGTATTATGAAAGGCAAATGCGCGCAACCAAACCAAAGAAAAAGCTCGTGAATTTCTATGTAAACATATTATGCGCCTAGTTCTAAGTTCCTGTTCGAAATAAATGTTAAAGCGAATCCAAATTTGTTTATTAACTATTAGGGTTAACTAAAAAACTTCAGTTTAACAGAAAAAGAATGAATGGTAAACGTTGGAGTGCTTGATGATGTCTTTTAGACTTCCTCAACCAGTTCGCACAGAAATGACAAATGGACATGGCTATTATCTATTGTTACTTATAAAAAATAATACTTTATAAGGTAAAAGATACCTTGTTAAGTGTGTTGCACATTTTATACAAAAATTGTAATACCCCTGCAGGGTTTACCTACCGAGAGATATTTCCAGACTTGATTTTGTTTTAATTATCGCCCAACTGCTTGCTGTTGGACTAAATATAATGATAATTAACATGATAACTAAGTTTTAGGCTCTAAACAGTTTGTGCTGGTCGGTAACATTCCAAAATGCTGTACAGCTAGCCCAGGCTGCTCCGGATACTAATAGGGAGGACACAACATCGCTGATCCACCATCGACAATGCCACTGACGGCCTGAGCTTTGTGGCCGCGCATATGCGCCGAGAGACCAGCTGCCTGGGCATAAGCATTGCCGCAGATTTTGCACTTAAACTTTTTAATGCCCAAATGCAGATGCTTGTGGTGGTAGAGTGCTTTGGGGCGCGAAAATGCGGCCTCGCATTTATCGCACTTGTATGGTCGCTCCGTTGAGTGCATAGCTTGGTGCTCATTGAGCAGCGACTTGGAAGCAAAACACCGCTCGCATGTCTGGCACTTGAATGGTTTCTCGCCGGTATGCGTGCGTCGATGAACAATTAGTGCATCGCGGTAGCGCGAACGATAGCCGCACAGCTCGCAGATGTAATTCCGTTCCGTGCTGTGCACGCGCCGATGCGAGGTGAGATTGTGCTGGCTGACAAAGGATTTGCCGCAGCTCTCGTGCTCGCATTTGTACTTTCGCAGACCCGAGTGGCCTTGGACATGGCGTAAAAGCGTGCGCGAACTTTTGTAGACCTTGTTGCACAGGTTGCATGTAAACTCTGTATGCACCTTGCGACGATGCGTTTCCAAGGCTCGATCCACGTCAAAGGCGGCATCACAATCATTGCACTTAAAGCCCTTCGGATGCGGATGGCTCATTTTAAGGTGTATGTTTAGGTATTTCAGCGTTGTGTATTTGCCAGCACAGTATTTGCATTTATACTCCTTGGGTTGCCGTTCTTTCTGCGACGTAAAAGCCAAATAATATAAGCAGGACTAGACAATTTGAACAGAGCTCACCTTAAAAACAGACTGCATTTCCATTTCGCTATCAGCATCGTCATCGCCATCGCTAAAGCCATGAGCATCTTCTGTGGCTGTGTCCAGTTCGTCTGTACTATGGGAACTGTCTTCGCATTCAGCAGTTTCGTTGGCTTCAATCGACGCTGGCTCCAATTTGACCTCATTGAAGGCACAGACACGCAATGGTTTAATGGTCACTGCTTTAGCGACGTCATCATCATCATCTGATCCATTATCTGATAAAACTTCGCTGCATTCGCTGGCGCGTAATTCTGGCAATGGCCTTGGTGTTGAATTTATCAGCTGGAGGTGCTGCTGGACATCAATGGTGTCTGCATTCGCCATCGCGGTGGCCGCATGTGTACGCGGCTTTCCATGGCTGTCGAAATGCACATTGCGTATGTGCATTGAGAAATCGTCAAAGGCAAAGTGTTTCATTTCGCACAGGCAACAAACCAACTGGAAGCTGCAGTACTCGTTGTCGCTTTCGTAAAATATCTCGCCGCATTTTGGGCGCAGCTGCTGATTTGCATGCAGTCGCGAGAAGTCCACATTGATAAGACACTGCTTTAACATGCTGCGGATGGTTTTATTTCAATAATTGCCATACAAATAAATATAAACAAGTTATAAGTGGCAGGCGAATACCAAAACAATGTCTCGATAGCACAATTTTGATAACAATAACAATATTATCGAAACAACGCCAGTGCTGGCAAACATGTTAGCGCGCTAATTTGAATAATTTGTTTTGATTGCAACTGGTAATTTTAAGTTGGTTGTGGCAGTTGCTCGCTCAGAACGCTGGCGATGCCAACGTTTGTGCTGCGCATAACCAGCTGCCTGTGCAAAGGACTTGTCACACAATGCACACTTATACTGCTTATTTTCAGCATGCAGCGGCTTGTGATGATAAAGAGCTCGCGCACTGAGAAATCCTACATTGCAATCCTTGCACATGTAGCGACTCCGCCGCTCATGTGCGTCCATATGGCGTTCATTGTGTGTGGTCAATTGGTATCGCGCCACGAAGGAAGCATCGCATTGGTTACAGCGGAAGGGCTTCTCCCCAGTATGACGACGTTTGTGCACTTTCAAATTTCCGCGTATGCGAGTTCTATAACCGCAATGCTCACACATATGACGCAGCACGTCCTTTTCGGTGCCAATGTTCTTGGTCTGATTCCACTGTTTCTGTTGTGGATTTGCAGACTTTGAGCTATGCTTCTGTTTTGAAATTGACTTGAAATTTTCCTTTGATATAAATTCGAAACAGTGAAGTAAAAAAATTGCGTATCCACGATGCACTTACCAAAGCCTCGCCGGCCATTCTCACGCAGTGTATGCTAAATTTAATCGTTGGCATTAGGTTAATCGCGCGGTTTGGCATTTGTGGCTCGATTAATTGTTGTCAAAAGCAGCTAAAATTAAATTACAAGACATCTAACCGCTCCCTTCCCCTATCACTTAGCACACCATCAACACAATTAAAATATTTCGATGCTCTGACTGCAACAGAAAATCGATCGATTATAAAACCGATAGAATTTTATCGATTGGTAAATTTGAATTTCGGCCATTAAAAAAGTAGAACGGAATTTATGAAAAACGAGCTGATAAGAATTTAATAGCTTAGACTAATTATGTATTCTGTATATGATGCATACATACATATACAAAAAGATGATTCTGCCTAACCTATGCCTGAGTTCTTAAATATAAAAACAACAAATTACACATAGAATAGAACAATAGTGGAAGATATGATTTAGCACATAATTGCAGCGTACTAAACAGATTACCGATATTAGCCATTAAGCTCGTCATTGCGATGCTTTCGCATGTGCCCGGCCAGTCCCGCTGCCTGTGCATAGGCATTGCCGCACAGCTTGCACACAAACTGCTTTGTCGCTGTGTGCAGGAACTTGTGATGATAAAGCCCTTTCTGTCGGGAAAACGTGGCGCCGCACACTTTGCATACGTGTGGCCGTTCCGTCGAGTGCATGGCCATGTGCTCGCGCAGACCCGAGTGAGATGGGAAACGCTTGTCGCACACCTTACAGCCAAACGGACGCTCACCCGTGTGACTGCGTAAATGGACGCGCAGCGTCTCCTTGTTGCGGCAGCTGTAGCCACAGCTCTCGCAGACAAAGTTTTTCTGCTCCGAATGCACCTTGCTGTGGTTGCGCATGTGGCGCGTTGTGAAAAAGCGTTTATCACAGCCCGGATGGCTGCATGGCACATTGCGCTCATTCGTATGCTTCAGCTGATGGCGTTTTAGCTCGTGGCGTGTCTTGTAGCGTCGGCTGCAAATAACACAGGGCGCTCCGCCATGCACCTTTACCACATGCTCGTCCAGCAGGCGAAGTCGCGGTAGCTGCGCATTGCACTCCAGGCAGACAAACGCCTCGGTTAGGTTAATATCATGATCCCGCTTCACGTGCTGGCGTAATGTATATTTGCCATGGTAGACTTTGTCGCAGTGCTCGCATTTGTATTTGGTGGACGGCTTAGACGCATGCACCTTTGGCGGCGCATAATCCACGTCGACGTCATCATCATCGACATCCGAAATAACAACATCGGAATCCAAATAATTGTGCTGTCGCTCAATGTGGCGCTCCAGCGACTTTTTGCTTTGATACGTCTTATTGCAATGTGTGCAGGCCAGCTGCTCTTTTTTGGCTCTGAGTGTGCCATCCTGACTAATGGCATCCGTGTTTTCTACGTCGGACTCAACGTCCTCATCGAAGTCCACTTTGTGGTCACGTATTTGCCGCAATTGCTCTGTTCTGCTGATGGGGTTACTGTCCCACTTCATGATGCTGCTGGTTAAGCCAACGGGATCTTCCACGTCATCATCATCTTCGTCGTCGTCCAGCAGTTGTTTTGTTTCGTCTAGAAAATCTTTCCCACTGCTGCCGTTCAAATCATCATCATTGGCTAGTTCATACCAGGAAAACGGATTTACTTGGATTGTCGCCTGCGAGTGCAAGTGCGGGGAGAATCCATCCATCTCCTCCTGTTTTGGCAGTAGCGCCTCCGTTTTGAGCAGACCGTTCTCGAAGTGCTCGTTCTGTATGTGAAGCAGAAAGTCGGCAAACACAAAGCTCTTCATGTCACAAAACGCACAGTCAATGCGATAGCTGTTCAAACTTTGGAAGTATACCTCGCCGCACTTGGCATTGGCAATTCCGGCAAATGTGTCCGGCTTAAGTGCCTTCAGCATTTTAATAATGTTATTTATATCTTTGCTAACTACTACACATTTGTATGTTTTTAAATCGTTTTTGGCTGCAACAAGCTGCGCAAAGCAACGCAAACAAATCGTGTTTGCTATTCAATTCTCACTGACTGGCTAAACAGATGATTAGTTTTGGCATTTTGCAGCACTGTATTCCTATCGGACGCAGCAGGTCACACTAAAAGAAAACCAATTGACTGGCGCCAATTGGATTGCAATCCAGAGTCAATTATCTGGATGTATCTACAAAAAATTTAGATTTTTATATGACCTGATCAGTTTGATTTTATTTATACGATACGCGGTGTTCTTATAATAGAATAAGAATATATATTCTAACTTAAGTTTAGAGATTTTTTGATGATTCAGTTATGTTTAAGGTTTTAACAGCGTGTCTATGAAACCTTCTTAAGAATAAAGTCAAAGGACTATATAACTACCAATTTCCAGAACACTTTTGAATTATTATACCTGAATGGAAAACCATGGTCATGCTGTGAAATTGAAAAAAATATGCATCAAATATAAATCGAAGAACAGGAAAATATGAAACGAGACAATAAAATCCAAAAACATATCCAAAGTAAAAAAAAAATAAAACGAAGTGGAATATAACACCTCTCTCAGCCACTTGCTAACGCAAATTCTTGACAAAAGAAACTACATAGACATGTATACATACATACATTAGTTTATTAGAACTTCGGGCTTAACATGTATTAGCTGGTGCTGCCGCAAATGATTATCATTTATGAACTTTTTATCACACTTCTCACAGCCGTATTTGGCCAAGCGGTAGTGTTTCTTCAACTTGTGGGTGCTTAGCGTGGAGGCACTGCGGTAAGTGTTGCTGCACAGCTCGCAGGCAAAAGGCAAATGCGCCGAGCTGATGACAGCATTATCCGTGGAATCGGCTATCTCTACACTGAGATTCGCATGTAGCTTGCGTCTATGGGTATCCATTTGGTTGCGGGTGTAGAAGCACTTGTTGCAGATAGTGCAGGCCCAGCGACGCACTTGGGTGTGACGCAACTCGTGGCTAAGTAGTGCACTGCGGTGGGTGAATAGCTTCTCGCAATGCTGGCATTGCAGCGCCTGGCGTTGCTCATGGGTGCGCAAATGCCGCGTGAGCGTGCAGATCGCGCGAAACTGTTTGCCACACCTCTCGCACTGATGGGGCTTGCTGCCAGTGTGGATATTTAAATGAGTGTCAAGCAAATAGCGCCGTCGAAAGGTGCGTCCACAATATGTGCATATGTTAGACTTATTGTGTTGCTTATATTGACGGTGCTCCGGTTGCTTCTCCACATGTGGGGCATCACAAGCTGCGCTATATTTGGAGTCGACATTGTCAGTGGCTATGGTAAGTGCATCTAATCGACTTTCTGTTATTGTTGTCACTGACACTGAGATCGATGGCATTAGAAGCACGGGCTCATCTAGGCAATCGGAAGCACTCGTGGAGGGGCTAGCTTCATGAGTAAGTTCGTCTATTAGCAAATCACCTTTTCCGGCGCGGATCTGTGCCTGCAAATGCTCATTGCAGAAGTGCCGCCGGAATGCATCGTAGTCCACGATAGATATTCCACAAATGCATATTATTAGGAATTTTGACTCTACCGATTCGTCGCAAAGTATTTCGGCACATTTCCTGTTAATGTTTATTTCTTCGACCATCACCAAATTGTAGTTACCAACACTAATCTCCCTCGTGCAATATATCGAATTGAAATTTCCACCGGCCTTCCAATACTTGTTTTTATCGACAATAGCAACACGCGATTTGTAATTGTTAGACTGCATTTGCAAATTCGTGTACGTCTTCATTATCGTTAAACCAAATATAATTGAACATGCATCCCGATCTTACCGAGCGCATCCTACAGCATTTGGAGTCCGTCGACAAAGTTGATACAGTAGAACTTGCCACGCAATTCAGTGTTGACCACCAGAAAGTTGTCGGTGCTTTAAAGAGCATTCAGGCACATGGCGATTTGGTTAACGCAGAGACAGCCACGCAGAAGAGTCTGGGACTTACCGACGAGGGCCGATCCGTGGTCGAGAATGGCAGCCACGAAGCTATCGTCTATGGTTTGGTACCGGCGGAGGGCATTCCTCAAGCAGCGCTGATGGCAGCCGGCGGAGCCAATGCCAAAGTGGGCTTTAGCAAGGCTATGTCGCAAGGCTGGATACTGTTGGACAAGAGTGTGAATCCGCCGCTGATTCGGCGCAAGGTCGACCACATTGTCGACAATGTAAAAGAGCAGCTGTTGCTGGTGGACAGTGGCAGGGCGCAACTATCTGCCAAGGACGTGACTGATTACAAGAAACGCAAGCTATTGCAGGAGACAACCACAAAGAGCTTTGTACTGAGCAAGGGGCCAGAGTTCTCCACAACGCTCACTAAACTGGAAACGGACCTGACAATGGATATGCTGACTAGCGGCTTGTGGCAGCAGCTGAAATTCAAGGCATACAACTTTGATGCACTGGGCGCGACACCGACGCGGGGTCATTTGCATCCGCTGCTCAAGGTGCGCACTGAGTTCCGCCAGATCTTCCTTGAGATGGGCTTCTCAGAAATGCCTACCAACAACTACGTGGAATCATCGTTCTGGAACTTCGATGCACTATTTCAGCCACAACAGCATCCAGCACGTGATGCGCACGATACATTCTTCATCAACCATCCGGCGCAGAGCCACAAGTTTCCCCAGGAGTACTTGCAGCGGGTGAAGACCGTACACTCAAAAGGTGGCTACGGCTCGTTGGGTTACGGCTATGATTGGAAGCTCTCCGAAGCGCAAAAGAATCTGCTGCGCACCCACACAACTGCTGTGAGCGCACGCATGCTATTCAAACTGGCGAACCAGGAGGGTGGTTTCAAGCCAGCAAAGTACTTTAGCATAGACAAGGTGTTCCGCAACGAGACGCTGGATGCGACCCATTTGGCCGAATTCCATCAAGTTGAGGGGGTTATTGCTGATGTTGGCTTAACACTCGGTGATCTGATTGGAACACTATATGAGTTCTTCCGAAAATTGGGTATTACTCAGCTGGAGTTCAAGCCGGCATACAATCCGTACACGGAGCCCAGCATGGAGATTTTCTGCTATCATCCTGGCCTGGCCAAGTGGATTGAAGTGGGCAACTCTGGCGTCTTCCGGCCGGAAATGCTGCTGCCAATGGGATTGCCTGAAAATGTGAATGTTATCGCATGGGGTTTGTCGCTGGAACGACCTACGATGATTAAGTATGGCATCAACAATATTCGGGATCTGGTTGGACCCAAGGTTGACCTCAAAATGGTTGAAGAAGGGCCCATTTGCCGATTGGATCACGTGTAGTGTTGCATTTGCTATTTAAATCATAATTTTTAAAATTCATATTTGAACAGTAACAAGTTCGCGCGTTTGTAAACAATAAACCAACACTGTTTTGCAACACCGATATTCGGAGAAGTAACATTACTGGCTAGCAATCGAACAAGTCATCACAATAAAAACGCAAACAAAAGAAATATCGAAACTCAGGCTTTTAGTTTTGTTTTTGTTCTTAAAATATATATTTTTTCTGTAACGTTGCCACTGTAGATGATGGCTAATGCTGACCTAGAACTGGACAAGGAGAATACACAAACACTGCAGCAAGCCATTCATCTGAGGTTCGGCACTCAAAATGCCAGTGAACCAACAAAATCTCACATTTCGATTGGGCCAAAACTTGTTATACCACAGCTAAAGATACCGCAGATTAACGCCAGCACGCCAACCAGTGCCGAGGTACTTTCTGCGGAAGAACACCGTCGCGCCGCTGATGCCCATAATGAGCGGCTGCTCAATGCAATCAAACGCCGTCGAGAGCAGAGTGAAGCGAGTCATTCAGCTAGAGATTCATCTGCATCCTCCAAAGAATCCACCGATAGCCTACTGGCCAAACTCCCCTTGTTAAATGGTATCAGTTGCCGGTTAACCATACCCAAGCTGCGAACGGCTTCGGGTGAACCACTCGATGAGCCCCAATTCAACATACCTTTACTCAACAAGTTGCGCAGCCAGAACAATTCGTTGGAGCTGACCCAGCTGGAGAAGGGCGTGAGCAAATTGAAACTTACTGCTGACGATGGTGGCGATAGTACCAAGCTTAAGAGTATTCAGGAAATGCAACAAGCACCGACCCCACTGATCGATCTGACCTCAACTGTAATTGCTATCCAAAAAGATGCACCACCACGCGAGGCGGCGAGTAAGGTGCGACACAAGCAGGCAGCAGTTATGGAGCACTTTGATATTCCATTTATTGGCTGCGATAGCCTTAACCGTGTCTCTGTTGGTATGCTGTTCAAAAAACGTCAAAGCAGTACATCAAGCGACTTTGAGGCGACTGTTACGAGAATTATAGAGAAATCCAGCGATGTTGGCAGTATGCTTGATGCAACAGTTGGCTATCCAAGACCACGGCAGCCACAGCTTAGGTACGCTGCCTCGCCTCTAGAACTGCAGAATCTGAAGATGTATAAACGGGAGGATTACGGTACAAATATTAAACGGTTTCGCTTCGATACTGCATCGCCCGATGAGATTGTTAAGGAGGCGCTACAGAAATCCTGGCGCATATCGCGCACATAGTCTAAGTATTAGCTATGCTTTATGCCTAAGTGTACAAGTTGACATTAAAAATTATTTAATATATTTTTAGCGATGAATTCACACCGACATCGATTCATTAATTTATTTGCCAGACGTTTTCTGTATCGATATTTAGTAAGTGTCGATAAACAGAAATACATCGCTATCGCTGAATACATAATTTCAGACAAAAGAACATACACATTCGCGCACACACATATGTACACAGCAGTAGGCATAGACACAGACGAAAGAAGAACAAGCAGTAGAGGAGAATGCGAATAAGAACTGCGTATATGTATGTGGAAATACAAAACAGCAGACACAACGAACAGTGTGCTTTTTCGGCATAGATCTCAAGCCTCAGACGCATTAAATCAACGCAATTAAAACGCACAATCTAATCGAAAACCATCGACAAACAAGCTGCTGGCATAAATTGTGATCGAACAGCTGTGGAAGTGGAAAGGGCACCAAAAAAGTAATCATAAAGTGCGAAAGGTCAGCAGCAGGAACATTTCGCTGTATATCAAACAGTGTGTTTGTGTGTATATGTGTATGTGTGTCTAGCTGTCACTTTCTTGCGCGCGCACAAGACATACACAAATTGAAATCAGCGACAACACCTCCCCCACAACCCATCAAAGACAAAACTTGACATACGCGCCCGGTTCCGGTGCCATCGAGCCACCGCCGTTGGTCAGTTACCCGTCTCTAGACCCATCAACAGCGCAACACTCGGTTGCAATCGCATACATATAAAAAAGTGGAAGTGCGCGTTGCTGTGGTTGCATTTCCTTTTTGGTTTTGTTGCTATCTATAAGATTATAATCCACATTCAGCTCCAGGCATTTAGCGCAGGTGCCGGTGCCAACGTTGCCGTCGTGCTGCTGTTTACATGTGGAAGTTGTTGTACAGGTAAAGTTCGTGTATATATGCATAGTTACGCTTTTGCTGTATGTGTGTTTTTTTTTTTTTTTTTTTTTTTTTTGCAACTTCATTTCATGTTTTCCATTAGCAGCTAATGGGCTGCTACCAATATGTTCCAGATGCCAGTGACTGGGCACACCTAAATAATGAGCTTTGCTTCTCGATTGCCATAGAATTTCTGTGATGTGTGACCAGGGTGCAGTTAATTTATCGCCCTAACGAATCGTTTTTGCGTTCGTACTTTTCTGTTCAGAACAAGTCTGTTCAATACGACGAAATTCATTCCAATACTAATTAAATCAACACAAATACCACATCAACTTGGAGGGATTTGCAATATAAAACGAGGAAAGGGCTCGAATACGTACATGTACATACATACATATGTATATGAGAAAAAGCTTCCTAATTGACGCTTGTTATAATTTTCCGATATTTAACTTGTCACTTATCACAAGGATATTTTCCGGCTTGGTGTTCATACGTGTGTTCGCCTATGCAGACAAGTGACCTTGGCATAAAACGCCCCCGACAAATGCTTTGCACACACCTTCACACCTACCTCGCACAGCTACATCGTCAGCTGCTGCAGTTGTTATTGTCAAAGAGCAAACAGAAATCGTTGGATTGATAATACACGACTCTACCCTTTCCTGGCCTATAGCTACTGCTTGTGCACAGACACACACACACACACGGACGGACTCGTAATTATCACAAACATCACCATCATATGGTCTCATGCTTTTTTATCAAGCAGACAGTCGGGTCGCACGTACTAGGGGGAAATCATCGTAGGCACACACATACACTTGCATGCCAATTATCAAGTTTTAATTATTTTAGCAGCACGCAAACACACATATACATTCGCAAAGTTAAAGAGAGAGAAAACTAACTGTTATACAAATTTTTAGAAACGCTGACAACAACAAAGGACGCTGCAAAGAATCCAGAAGAGCAAAACAAAACGTAAGACCTCAGCAGAACCACAGTGTTGAGCAGCTTTAATTGCTTTAGCCCTTATCAATTGCAAACTGTAAACACTCCGGCGAAAAATAACGAAGCAGACCTTCAAGACTGGAATATAAGAGCTAAAGGAGTTGCTGGAGCAGAGGTGGTGGCAGGCACGCGTGTTAAGCGTTAAGCCGGCTTTGTGTGTTGTACGCGTGTGCGGGGGAGGGGGGCGCGGTTGAGTGTCCACTATTCGTGAGATGTTGCCATTCACTCCGCAAGTGGTTAAACGTTTGTTAGCACTCAAAAAGGGCAACGAGGACAACAGTGTCGAGGGCAAGTGGTCCGAGAAGGCTGTCAGGAATCTGGTGAAGAAGATCAAAAAGAATTCACAGATTGAGGAACTAGAACGCGCCATCTCCACACAGAACTGCAATACTCGGTGTGTGACTGTGCCGCGCAGCAAGCCCGCTGCCACCGGCGAAAGCCTACGGAAGGGCTTACCGCACGTCATCTATTGCCGACTGTGGCGCTGGCCCGATCTGCAGTCACAGAATGAATTGAAACCGCTCGAGCACTGCGAGTACGCGTTCCATTTGCGCAAGGACGACATCTGCATTAATCCGTATCACTATAAAAAGATTGAGCTATCAATATTGGTTCCAAAGTCGCTACCAACGCCCCCTGACTCCATTGTCGATTATCCTTTGGACAATCATACACATCAGATACCAAATAATACGGAATACAATGCTGCAATAATACGCAGCGCCTCGCTCAGTCCGCCACAGTATATGGAATTGGGTGGCAGCAGCAGCAACAGCAGCAGCAACAACACAACAACAACTGGAGCCGGCGGCTACCAGCAACAGCAGCAGCAACAACAACAAAACTCGCCGATATCCTTTGGCAGCGTGGTAGGCGTGGGCCAGAACTTGCCACCAGGCAGCTGCAACATGGACTCGCAATCCAGCGTGCTCAGCGTGGGCAGCAGTATACCCAACACGGGCACCCCGCCGCCGGGCTATATGAGCGAGGATGGCGATCCAATTGATCCAAATGATAATATGAATATGTCGCGGCTAACACCGCCCGCCGATGCCGCACCAGTGATGTACCATGAGCCGGCCTTCTGGTGCTCCATATCCTACTATGAGCTAAATACCCGAGTGGGCGAAACCTTTCACGCCTCACAGCCATCGATAACGGTGGACGGCTTTACCGATCCATCCAATTCGGAGCGCTTCTGCCTGGGCCTCCTCTCCAACGTGAATCGCAACGAGGTCGTTGAGCAAACTCGTCGCCATATTGGCAAAGGCGTTCGCCTCTACTACATTGGCGGCGAGGTCTTTGCCGAATGCCTGAGTGATTCGTCAATCTTCGTGCAGAGTCCCAATTGTAATCAGCGCTATGGCTGGCATCCGGCAACCGTTTGTAAAATACCGCCTGGATGCAATTTGAAGATCTTCAATAATCAGGAGTTTGCCGCCTTGCTCTCCCAATCGGTATCCCAGGGATTCGAGGCAGTTTATCAGCTAACGCGTATGTGCACCATCCGCATGTCCTTCGTTAAGGGCTGGGGCGCCGAATATCGCCGACAGACGGTTACCTCAACGCCCTGCTGGATCGAACTCCATTTGAATGGACCACTCCAGTGGCTCGATCGTGTACTCACCCAGATGGGCTCGCCTCGTTTGCCCTGCAGCTCCATGTCCTAAGTGTGGCCGCAAAACAAAACTCTTTGACATATGTACATGTGCATATATATATTTGGAATATATATATATATATATATTTTTTTTTTAATCTATTCCACAAAGCGGAGCAATTAAAACACAAGAAGTGAGAACAAAAAACAAACATGAAGTGAAAAGAAAGGTAAAAAAGTTGCAGTCGGAAGATACCGACTGCCGAATACTCTGTTCCCAGTGTGTTTATACGACGAGTGGGAAAGGGACATGGGAAAAATATAAACGTATGTATCTCATCTTATATGGAGATCATCAATAGTCCTTAAATTAAATTTGGTCACTAGCTTTCAAACTGTTTGGATATAAAGCGCTTTTTTTTCCTGAATGGCGGAGGGTGGATGTGGGTGTCGTAAAAATCTAAATACTTGTACCTTAACCAAACATATAATAGTGTCAACAGACTCACGGACATTGTACTAACCATTATTCACATTTTTTTCCTTTGGGAACAGAGTACAAAATCAAAATTAAAATTTTGAGAGCACATTAAATTAGATGTAGCTTATGCAGTTTGCACAGCGCTACAGAAAAAGAGAACTTCTATATTCTATCTACATATACACAAATACGAGATCATGTATTTTGCGTTACATGCTTAGGGTTTTAGTGCTTAGGAATAGGCAGATGGGTTGGGGAAGATGAGACAGACATTTTTGATAAGAATGGGCGGCTCCACATTTTAAAACAAAAATTAACATTTTATACACAGTTTGTAGACATAGAAGAAAGTAAAAATACGAAGACAGCTAAAAAAGAAATAGATCCTGTTTAACAGTGTTTGCAATCGCGCACCGCCAAAAGAGCGAGAGATTCAAAATTCTTTGTGAAAGAAACAAAACAAACGGTGATTTGGGAAACGTTTTTCTAAGATTGATCATAGCAAGGAACAAAAAACATGAAATGATACAACAACAAAATACAGCAGTAACTGGGATTTTTCAAGCTTGAAGCTTACACACGTAAATACATATGAGCTATCTTACCACATTTAATTATAAATGTTAACAAATTAAAATATGTCATATGAATGTTGTTCTAACGTTTCAATTTTTTGCTTCATATGTGTGTGTTTAAATCTTAAAATAACATAAATCAAGCAAATCGCAAATGAAGGCGTTTGTCGTTTTATTAGTAAAAACAAAACAAGCAAAAAACAAAACAACACTTACAGAACCAAAGTCTGCATTTGTTGTTTTCTTAAAAAAAAATGTTATTTGCATTAAAAATTGTATCTGCATTTTTTGTCTGGCAGGTGACTTGTTTTTTTTTTTTTTTTTTTTTTACCTACATATGCACAGTTTATGTGTTTAGCTTTCCCACGCTTTGTCTGCATGTTGCACATGTCATAGAAAGCTAAATATTTTTAAGTTAACGTTTAACTCTTTTCTTTTTGCATAACTGCAAATTTGTTTTTGTTTTCTTGTAAAATGCAATTTGTTACAACTAAAAATACAAATCCCAATTGTGTGGCCCTGCAGACTGCAGTACAGCGAATGATACTGATTTATATGCTGTTTTGTTGCCGGTAAGCTGGTTACATTTGTATTTTTATTTGTTTAAACTGCACTTTGACAGTTCAGCTGCCGTATGTTTGTATGCGTAAGAGAGAGAGAGAGAGAGAGTATAGAAAGAGTAGGGGCGAGGAGTGGAGTGTGGCCAGACAAGAATTCGGCAGTTGAGCTAACACACAAGTCCCAAATTTTGCTTGCATAAATCTATATGCACGTATGTATGTATATACATACAGGCATATGTATATGCATATTTTTGCTAAAACTAATGTAATGTTATATTTAAAAATAACTGGGACAAACATATGGAAAATAGAAGAAAAACAGAACCAAACTCAAAACACATTCAACGTATCTGCGAACGAAATTAAACTGACGCTGAAATTGTAACTGTAAAACTGAGAAACCAATATGCGCAAATGAAAAAGGCAAACAACCAATTACCAATACATATTAATATAATATATATACATATATCTTATATACATACATGCATGCAACAGGCGATCAGGCCTAAAGATAAAAATATAAATTTAAAAAAGAAAAAAAAGAAAAAAGCAAACAGAAAGAAACCATTCAAAACAAAAACCAACAAACAATTCTATATGTATAAATCGTATATTTAAATAAACCTTATATTTTAGAACAAACGCCTAATTCAATCGCAACCTTTGGCTTTGTGCACCTTCAAATGTTGTTTATAATTCGATTTGCGCAAAAAGCATGATCCACACAGCGAGCAGCGAAAGGGACGCAATCGCGTGTGCGCAATCTGATGGTGGTTCAGCTCAGAGGAGCTGAAAAAGCGCTTGCCGCAGTCCGGATGCCGGCAGGCGAAGTCCCGCTGATTAAAGTGTCGTTTCAAATGCGTATTTAGATAGCACTGATCCGTTAGAATACGTCCGCAGATGGGGCAGGTATAGCTCAGCGAGGATGTGTGTGTGACAGTGTCCGCGGAGCCCGTTCGCATCTCTTCTTGCTCATCCTGTTCCTTCTGATCCTGCGCCTCTTCTTCAATGTCTGTGGCAGTGTGCTTACTGCTGCCGCTGGCATGCTGCAGCTTCACGTGCATTCGCCGCGCGTGTATGGAATGGAAGGACATGCTGCAGCTCGCCAGAGTGCATATATAGGGTTTCTCGCCTGTGTGCAGGCGCCTGTGCACCGCCAAATAGTTGGCAAATCGAAATCCCTTGCCGCAGATGTCGCACTCGTATGGCCGCTTGTCGGTGTGGGTGACCGAGTGGATGCGTAGTTTGTTCAGCTGGCGAAATCCCTTGCCGCATACATCGCACACATGGGGCCGCTCATTCGTGTGCGTCATCTTGTGTATGCGCAGGCCGTAGGCATCGCTGAAGCTGCGTCCACACAGATCGCAAATGATTGCCGCCTGCCGTTTTGTGGGCGGTGCTCGCTTCGCCTTGGACTGCGTCTTGGGCTTGCCGATTGTCAGATTCGTCTGTTTCTGCGCCTGCTAGGAGCTGCGGTATGAGAGTATGGGGCACAACAAAAGTGTCTAACCACTCACCTGCTTCACGAGACCCAAGCCAGCTGCTGCCGGAAAAAGCAGCACATCGCTGTCGGCCTCCAGATCGCCCAACTGCCCAAATAGCTGTACATCCTCTGTCAGACAGAAGGCATAGCTGTCGCTCGGCTCCAGCTGCTCCTGCTCGGGCATGAATTGCTGCTTCGGCTGACACGGCTGGTGCATGTTTATCAAGTGGTCGCCCACCGATCTGCCGATTCAGCGTCACTCCGTAGTATATTATGTTATTTCTTCAGCACCGATAAGATTACGCCGTTTAACTGTTTCGCCTATAAAAAAAAAAAAACACGAATAAAACTTGTTGCCCGCTTGTACTTGGGCATAAGCGGTGTGTCGGCTCCGGTCGCCGCTTCTTTTAATTTATTATTTTATCGTATTGCCCACTAATAAAATGAGACGGTAAATGCAATTGTTGTTGCTGCTGCTGTTGTAATTCTATTTGCACTTTAAACATTTATTCGATTCCAATTCGTTTGCAACGCTCGCACTTTGAACCACTCCGGACTTGGGCTAACCAACAGCCAGAATAGTCGAACATGCCCACTTATATACACATACGCATATAAATATCTGTACATACATACATACATGCATATGTATATTGGTAATACAGGTCTTCAGTTTACGGTCCCAACTAAACAGTACTTTATCGACATGTGCACAGCACACGGTCGTAGATAACACTATGCAACAGAACTTTGAACATGGATAATATCGGCATATGCACATACATACATGCATATGTATGTTTGTATTAACATATGTAGTAGGTGAATTAGTCATGCTCTAACGGTATCATATCAATTATCTAACCTTCGCCCGATCCACTCTATACACGATCTAAACTTAGACAGTCGAAATTTATCAATTTATTGAGCTCGCAAACAGAACATTATTTTTCTTTCGAAGTTTCTTCTTTATTTTAAATGTGTCTATTTCATAGGACAATCATTTAATTTTGTAGTGGACCATGGTATTTAAGTTTAAGTGAAACTAAATTTGTATTTTAAAAAAATCGATTAAGTGAAATATAACAGAAACATGTGTGCCTGAGGGCTTCATATCATACAACGCAGCCTTATTGATTTAACATAATCAATTGAAAACGAAAAATTTATCATCAAATTGAGCTTGGAGCTCATCTTGCAAATCGTGTTGCAGAGAAACACGTTTGATCAAATGTCGTAGTTCTAATACCCTTCTTCCACAGTATCATAACGTAGATTTTTCTTTAATATTCATACATGTTAGTTGGCTTAGCGTAACAGATATTGTAAGAAACTTGAATAGACTCTACGTCGGCCCATTTCGGAACTCTGGATAAAACATAAATATATATGAACATACCGAAAACAAGGCAGCTCCAAAGATATATATATATATATATATATCGGTTAAAAGCTTAAGATCCCTGTATAAATGATTCTTGGTTTGTGTCCTGATCAAGAATATAGTGCGGGATTGCAACATGACCACAACGTCTGCCGAATATTTCAAGTGTCCTATTGTATTTTTTAAATTAGAAAATCATTTTATTGTTGAATTAAATTTAGTTTCTTCTTAAACAAGCCTTAGTATAAAACTTTTCCGATTTTTTTTTCCAAAATTTACTCAAGAAATAATATACAATAAAATATAATTTAATATTGGGAAATAAAGCCATATTTTATTTTTGTTTAAAAAGAGGATTTCTAAGGTGACCCGTCTGTAGAAGAAAAAAAAAAAACATTTTTATAGAGAACACTACAACGTATATTTTTTTTATATTGACAATTATAAAGCTATTCAAAATTGTACTAATTTCCTCGAAATGCCAAAATGGAGCCGATAATGATTGATCAGAAATCTGAAGTAAGCGAACAAATGCATGTTGTCCAGTGTAATTATCAGAGTAAAGGTGACATTGAAGGGGCTCGCTCAAGCATTCAATTAGGCCTGCAAGCTGTGCAACTGGCTAATGCGAACTCCGGCACGATCTAAAGCGAGCTAGCAATACGTCGTATATTTACGAAACATGCATATACATCATGTACATATATAATTAGGGAACAGCTTTTCGTAGTATTACTTTAGTCCGGAGCGAATGCAAACGACTAAAGCAATTTCATACAACTGAATTTTATGGCCGCTATGGCAAAAGGTAAACTGATAAAATATATTAATTTGATATCGAGAGATTGTGGCTACACTTTGAACTTTTGCAGGAGGTGGCGAAGTTCCCTGTTCTGGCGACGCAGAAAGACTACCTCGGCATCGTATTGCACACGCATCTTAAGGACCTCGACATAGTGGTTAAGACCATGCTCCAGCGTCTTCCACAGATGGGTCTTTGAGTCTGGAAAGATGTTGGTGAATTGGCGCCAGAACGCTTGGATTTCCTTATCATTGAATTGAATTAGTTCGGCCTCTAAGCTGCTCTCTGAGGAGCTGCCATAGATTTGCTTGTGCTTTTGGTTTGTAAAGAGATTCATGGCGTGTAGCACGAGTGCCGGCTCCATCACCAGATAGTGATTAGGGCAGGTATCTTTAGTTGCATGGCTCTTCACCAGAAATGTCTTGCCGTCGTTTTTGCCCTTCAATAAAGCCTGATCCAGGTTATTGACATCGCCCAGCTTAAGTGAACGCATCTCCTTTTGGTCCTTGAGAAACACCTCTGCACATTTCATTGGGCTAAGCCCCGCCGGCTGGCAGGTGGGACAGTATGTATATGGTTCAAACACCTTGGTCAGCTCCATAACATGGTCCAAATTGCGTATACGCAACGCCGCAAAAATGTTATCGATGCGCACCATTGTCTGCTCCTTTTCCGTGTACGGCTTGAGGATCTTCAGCAGTCGCTCCTCGATCAAAAAGCCACCGCGATCAGCCAGCTTACGCAATATGTTGCGCATAAGGCGTGCAGATTCTGGCGGCAGCTCCAATATGGGTCCGCGTGGTTTCTCCTCGTCTTCGATAGCCGTGTATCCAGATCCGCCGTATTGCTTAGGCAACTTGCCAAAGCGACGCTCGATGCGATCCATGGCATTGTTGGGTCGCTTCTCCACCGGCTTGTTAATGTTCTCGATGTGTATGTTGGGCTTCTTCCACGGCATCACCAGCTGCTGCTCGTGTAGTATGCGATCGATCTCGAAGATGCGTGTGAGCAAGTCTGTGATCTCCTCGTAGTTAATGTTCCATACGCGATTAAACTTCTCGCGGTTAATATTACGTGTGTGCATGGCTTTGGCCTCCATTTCGCTGATGCTTCCGTGCAGTTGCTGGATCTCACTGGTCAGCTTAAGTATGGTGCGGCGGCCACTGTGGAAAACTTGCTTGTAGTTCCGCCTGGTGCGCGCGACCATTTCATGAAGGCGAGCAACACGACGCTTTTGTTGATTTGTTATAATTGTGTTCTCATCGTTGCGCCGCTGCAGCACCTGGTAGTTGTAGTCAAGCTTCTCGGAGTTCATCAGCACGTTGTCGCGTGTGCGTCGCAACTCCAGCTCTAGGCGCTCGCACTCCTTCTCCAGGCGCACACGCGTCTGCTTCGTTAGCTCATCCTGTGAGTCCTGCAGCAGTTGCAGCTGCAGCGAATAAAACTGTTCGCGTACGCGCACAAGCTTGGACTTCTCCTCGAAGTTGGTATTGAGGGCGTTAAAGAAACTGCGCCACTTTTCATCAGCTGTCAACGAGAACGTCTGGCGTTCGTCTTCAACAGTGTTGCGCAACAATTCAAGATGGTGTTTGTAGGATTCCTTTAGGGTCTCCACTTGATTGTCGATGCGCTCGACCAGACAGCACAGATCGGCTGCCTGGCGCTGGCGATCAAATTCGTATTTGGCATTCATGCGATCGATTTCCTGCTGGCAGGCAGCTATCATCTCATCCTTGCGTGCCATTATTTCGGCGATGCGCTTCTTTTGTTCCTCGATCTGATCCCAGAGCAGCATCGGCTCATTGATCTCATTTAGCTCTGTCCATCGCGCTTTAATATCATCAAACTTGGCCATTGCTTCAATGTTCTCGCCCTCCAGAATCCTCTTCATATCTTTTTGTTGTGTGGCCTCAAACACCCGCCGGTTCAGCTCGCGCCGCTCATTTGCCACGCGTATGTTGGTAACCAGCTCGTTGCCGAAGCGAACTAGCTGACCCAACCGGGTGCTGGTCAGCTCCAGCTGCTGATCAATTTTACTCATTTGAGCCATTGAACGTTCCGCAAATCCCTTGGGTGTATCTCGCTGTATTTGGCGCATTCGCTGCACAATGGTTTGCCGGCGCTCATCCAGTAAGCGGACAGGCTTGTCGCATTTTTCGTTGACCAAGAGCGAATCAATGTGCGCCTGAAAGGACTCCCAGCTATCTGCATCAGGGGCCTCAACCCCATCGTGCTCCGATTCAGTCTCGTCCTCCACATCCGCGTCGGATTCAATCTCCGTGTTGGCGTTTTCTGCCTCAACGTCGTCGTCGTCCTTGTTATCGTTATCCATATTGTATATCTGTTAAATTCAACACCAATATATTATATATAAATCTATATGATTGTATGTGTACTTGGAATAAGAATTTCAGCAGCCAAATACTACAAACAAGATTTCAATTGAATTTCATGTATGTAATTACTCAGATTGTCGCTTGAGCTTGGCCGGCTACTTGGATTGGAGTTAGATCGATATCGTTGCCATGCTACGCCAGTGCTGGTTTTCTTCCGTTGGGGATGTTTTGTAAAACTTAGCATTTTAATATATGCCCAAATTGTATTGGAGATTCTTTATTGAAAAAGTATTGCACATCAATTTTGTTTACGTCGTCGCCAGTCGCTGTGCGCTCGATACCAGCTGTTTTTAGGGTGGCCGTTCATTCGATACCAATTAGAATGGGAACAGTTCACATGAGTGCCATCCTGCTCACTCGAACACGCCCAAAACACATTTCTATGAATGTTGATGTCATCTTTATGTATTACATATGTATTCAATTTCATTTTAACTTAAATTAGAATTACATTAAGAATTTAAGTATTTACTGCTTGACAGCGCTGCGCATTGCAAATTGCATTACACCGCCCAGCCCGATTGAGTTGCATTTGACTCTGATGTCAGAGCCAAATACAGCTCTGCGCTCCTGGGTTGCATTCGTATTTTATTTTTCTTTCATACCATTGCAAATCTGTTTTAAAATTTTAAAAACCAGCAAGCAAATGCGCTTTATTGAACCGTAATACACAATTTTGTGGAATTGTTTAAAGCGCACATACATATATCTATGTATGTACATACATTTATATATCTATTTCCTCATTTCTATTTACAAAATGTTTGCCAAGGGTTGATGGGGAGGGGGGATGGCTGGCTGGCACAATTGCTCAGTTATCCTCAGTCTCCAATGTGATTTCATAAATCAATTCGTCGTCATTATACTCCTGGCCAACCGGTTGGTACTGCTGCCTCTGTTGTGTTTGCTGGTCAAGAGCAGGCTCCAGATACTGTTCATCATCTTCCAGTACCTCCTCGGAGTGCTCATCTTCGGCCACCTGCTCGACGAGCAAGCCCTCATCCTCGTAATTGCTTTGATCGAACTGCTGCACATATGGCTGCTCATCCTCTACCTCCTCGTGTAAAAAGTTGCCATTGACTGTTTCGTAGATGGCTTCGTTGCGGGCTTGCTCTTCATCAGCATCGCCGCCAACGCCATCGATGCCTTCGACGCCATTGGTGTCCGCTGATTCAACAAGCAGACCGGCATCCTCGTCATAGTCTTCTTCTAGCATGCCCGGCAGCTCATTGCATTCGCCCATGATGTCACCATCCTCGTTGGGTGTACGGCTTTCATCTTCATTGACCAGGCGGCGTGTATTACTTCGGCATTGGATTGAGCGCTTGTGCGCATCGAAGTAGTTGATGTCTGTGAATTCCTCCTGGCAGAGATGACACACATACGTGTCCTGATTCAGATGCATCTCTTTTCGGTGTCGTGCCATTTTGTGTGCATCCCGGCATTGCATGCCACAGAACGGGCACTTCAGCATTCGCCGCTTGCCCATATGTACGTTTCGTATGTGCTCCTGCAGTGAGAAGTTCTTGTAATAGGCTTTCTGGCAGTATTGGCATTGGAATCGGCGCTTTTTCTCGTGAGTCGCTTCGCGGTGCCGCTTGAGTTGTGTGTTCTGTGCAAAGGTTTTGCCGCACATTTCGCATATGTGCTCCTTCTCCAAATGCCGACGCTGGTTGTGTACGCGCAAATCCTGCTTGGTGGAGAAGTACAGCTTGCAGGGCTCGCACACATATGGCCGGATGCCCATGTGACGTCGGGCATGGCCGGCCAAGTATTTACAATCCCGATACGTTTCGGTACAGTAGATACACGCGTAGCGGTTTGTGCCAGGTACCATGTGCGTCTTTTGATGCTTGGACAGTTTGGATTTGTGCATGACATCGGGGCAGATGCCGCACTCAACCGGCAGCTTTTCATCATGTACACTGCCAATCATAGAGAACTCTACAATAGGCGTACCATCTTCATCAAAGTCCACAATGGTGGCAATCAGTTCGTCGAATAGCAAGTATCGACGGGGTCCCTTGAATAGGTCTAACATCTTTTCACTGGGTTTAGCCAATTGTGCCGGCTCCTCGCTTTCCTGCACGTCTGACGCATCCATTTCCTCATAGGCATCGCTGTCATCTATTAGCGAATGCGTTACATAGTTCCGCACCAGACTTTGTGGATTGGGCTTTGACTTATTGCGGGTGACCTGTACTGAAGTCCTGGGGGCTGCTGACATCGTCGTCGTAGTTGCCGTCGATTCAAGCTCGACTGCAACAGATTCTGATTGTGGTGAGGGTGTCTGTACGTAGTTCCATTCAAAATTCTGCTGGTCTTGTTCCACACCTTCTTCATATTGTTCATATTGCTCGTACTGTTCCTCAACCTGCGTACCATCTTCATCCTCTTCTTCCTCCTCCTCGACTAAATCATCTAGATCATCTGGAAACTGTTCCGCCTCCATATACTGCACATTCTCGAATGGCTCGTCTTTTGGGACGCGCATCATGGCCTGCTGAAGCTCGGGATAATTGACCAGTTGTTGATGCAACTGATCATTGTCGATGAGCAACTGCCCTTCGGTCCCATCATCGTTTATTAACAGGAACTCTTCATTTTTAAAATCTCTTCCGACATCCACAGCATCTAGGACTACATAGTGATTGTTGCCATCCGTATCGTCGTCGTCGCCGCCACCATCGTTGTTCTGCTCGGAGTATTCTGATTTCGAGGGCAATACGAATTCAATAATTTCTGACATGTCGATGTTTAAGCTCATCGGACTGTGTTTGCAATTGTTGCTGCCTGTATTAATTTATTTAGCCGCTTCGCTTGTATTTATCGTGTGGCATTAGTGATTAGTGATGAAAAAATGCTGGTGTGACATCTGTCGATAGGTTGTGGAGGACAGACGACCGATTTTAAAACCTGTCAAGCGATATTTCAACGCTCCTATCGCATAACAGCAATCACTGATTTATTTCAAGTTAACATTTTTTAAAATTAATTTTGTATGAAACAGCTTTACTTAGATTTTAGGAAAAATTTAAAAAAGGTGATTGCTAAAATATGTAGCACTCTTTGCACTGCCTTTTCATAGTGAGCCAATCAAGTACTTTAATCTGGTTAAATATTTTGTTTCAGCGCGTTTAATTCTAAACGATTCATCGATTAATTTTCAAATGTTATCGGAAATGATAGATCTCAAACTGCCCCAAGTTGGTAGCTCTGTAAGCTTTCAATCCAAATCCGCTTTGGCGCCTAAATCACAGAGCATGCGTACCAACAACGGTTGCGTCTTCTTCTTTCATCGTTTTATCATCTTCATGGTTGGGGCTTGCGGTTAGCCAACTTCTTGGCCATCCGATTCCACACAGTGCATTTCGTTGGCGCTTGCGGCTTATTTGATTTGCACACTTGGTAGCGTGCGTTTGTGCCGGAGTATTGCCGCCGCCCCTGTGGATACGTTAGCTGTTTTTTTTTCTGATTGTTGTTGTGTGTTACTCTTGCATTTTCGTGTGAAGCGCGTGCATGCGTAGCTGCCGTTAGTTAAATATTTTAAATTTGCGGTTTTCTGCAGCACTAATAGAAAATTTTGTAATTGACGCAATATTGTGTAAGCATTTGAACTCACATTAATCTTTAATTTTTTTTTGTTCTGTGTTTCTGTGCGGTGAAGGTAAATCTTGCAATTTGTAAGCATAAGAAATATTTCAATTACCAAAGTGATATTCTAAATAAAAGAATGAAATAAGTGAATAAGAAAAAAGCTTAGAAGCTTAGAGGCTGAGAGGCTTAAAGATACATAAATGTAAACAAAAGGATGTGCATAGAGCCTTTTGTTTTTTCACTTGTTTTGGTCAAGGTAAAACGAATGTCTCTGCGGGTTTTTGGCTGTGCCCTTTCAATAAAATGTTTTTACTTTCGAACTTGAACGGCTAATTGTGGTGATTACAATAACAGCAACAACATAATATGGCTAATATAGTGACCGTCTTCGGCTGCAAGACGATAGCAAAGCAAATAAATAAACAAATAAACAAACAAACAAACAAAAAAGCAACAATAAAGCGACGCCAACAACTATACAGCTCAAATCAAATAGGATTACGCAAAGTTGCAAACGCATTATGTTGATGTTGATTTTGAGCTTTAGTTTGCTTTTATTTGCCTTTATCATATTTATTTTGTTACTGCTGCTGCTGCAATATCTGGCTTATTTGATTTGACTGACAAATGCAAACTTGACCCGCTTTTGCCCTCTTTGATATTTCATTGGAACACAAATGTGTGGCAGCCAGTGGCCAGTTGCACATCTCCCGTCTTAGCTGCCACACGGTGACCAGCGGCGAATTGGCCTTAATTTGCTTTGCCTTTGTAACATATAAATTTTCATTTCAGTTGCTTAGGCCTGGGCGGCTGGCCAAAGACGTCGCTCATTTTGCAGACGCGACCAGATTCTCAAGACCAGACCAATTAAGACCAACTTCGCCGTCGTCGTCGTCGCCGTCGCACCGCCCCCGAAGAGCTTGGCAGAAAAACAACCACAAGAAGTGGCAGCAACAGGTGTTGGCAACGGCAACGCGACCAAGTGGCATCATTTGCGGTTGCAGTTGGCAGTTGCCCGCGTCGGGCGCAACGGGAAATTGGAAAATCGGAAACATGTTCTTGCGGCGTCGCGGCAAGTCGCATAGTCGCCTGCCACTGCCACTTTCCGCTCTTATCGGCCTGATGCATCGGCAAGTGCAGCGGCAGCAGCAGCAGCAGCAGCAATTTGTGTGTCATGCTGGTTGGGCAACCAGAACGGCAATCGCGCTGGGCGTGTTTCTAGCAGCCGCATCTGCAACAGCTTTGGGCACACCTGGTGTCGCCGCTGCCGCCGCTCCAGCTACCGGGTCCATGCAAATCCAGACGATGCAGGTGAACTGCACGCGTGAGTTGCTGGACATGCAGCTCACATTGAGTCGCACATTTCGCGGCCTGCTCTATGCCAAGGACTTTCCACTGGAGTGCCGGGCACGCGGCCAGGATGCCACGCAGATAGCGCTGCGTGTGCCCACCTCTGGCTGTGGTGTCCGCGCCGAGCCGCTGCCCGATGGCGGCATGGAGTACACAGTGCGCATTATGCTGCAAATGGAACAGAAACTGCGCCAGAGTACCGACATTCTGCGCACTGTGCGCTGCCAGCTGCCTGCCAAGGCCATGGGCATGCCCTTGCCGCTGCACGGACGAGATCGGTATGTGGAAATGCGGGCATTAAAAATAGCCAAATGAAACTCCAAATTGTCCTCTTGTCTCTTGCAGAATTGCACGAATGCGTGCTTTAGCCGTTGTCGCGTCTGCAGCTTCGCAAACCCATCATATGGATACGCCGCGTGTACGCATTTGGCTGGAGCTGGGCGGCCCCAATGGTTCCGGTTCTGTGGAAGTGGGCGTGGCAACCACTTTAACTGTGCGCGCCATAGTGCCCGGAACGATCGGTGTGCGCGTAGTGGACTGTGCCGCACTCGACGGCTTGGGTGAGTCGACGCAGCAGCTGCTCGACGCCCGCGGCTGTCCCATAGACGAGCAGGTGAGTCAATCGAATTCAACGATTTTTGCATAACTTGCGAACGATTCTGCGAGTCGACGCAGGCCAGAAAAATAATTAATTAATCATAATTTGAATGTGTTTAGTGGTAAATCTTTGTTGCTTATCGATTGATTGGCAAACTTTCATTTTTACCAACACTGCGAAAGTGAGCTATGCAATTTTTTCTGTGTGCAATTTTTGATTCGGCTGGCAACGCCAGTCCTGTGAGCAGCAGTGTTAGTGTTGTTGTTGTTGTTGTTGTCGCGGTGTTGTGCAATTGGTGCGCATCATTAAATATAACGGTTATTACAACACTCAGTCAGCACTGACGTCAGCAGCAAGTCAAAACTGAAAACGGTTAGACGTAATTACGCGCGCATCGTTAGAACAGTTTGCGTTTGCGTTTGGGTTTGCGTTTGGGTTTGCGCCTGCCCAGCCAAGCAGCTTAGTGGCCATTAAAAGCAACTGCTTCTGCTTCTGCTTCTGCCTCTGTCTCTGCTACTGCGCCTCTGCCCACCAGCAGCACCAGCAACCGTTCTTCAGTTCTTCTTGAGTAAATTAGGAGGTCACAACAATTAGCCAACAGTGGAATACATAGATATGTATATTTAGCGTTTAACATTTTGACATGGCTGCCCGCAAAGGCAATAGCAATAGCAATGCCAAGCTAAAAGCATTTGCATTTGGTCGTCGGCGCCGTCGCAGCTTTGTGCACATGTCATGACAGAAAATGGGTCAAACAAATCTTCTGCTGCTGTTGGCCATTGTGAGGTGCTGGCAAGAAAAATCACACGGCTTAATTTTTATTTTTATTTTAACGGACACGGGCAAAGCCAACAAAACATTTGCATTTTATGTTTGTTTTATTGTTCGTCACAATGCTAACCCATCAGCCCATCAGTTCCCCGTCCCCGTCCACCGTCTACCGTTCCACGTCCCATATCACCCATCACCCGCCAACCACGCTGTGGCGCTGTCTTCCGTTTCAGCACATTTTCGTTTTCTTTCACGTTTAGTTTTATTGTGTTTGCAAATAATTTATGCACCCGCTGCTAGCTTGGATTATTTATTTGGCTCAGAAATGGCTTCTAGGTCAGAGAGCTTTGCTTTGAAAAGTGAAACATTCTGCGGCTGCAGAACAGTTTCTGATCAGAATGTGACCTACAAAAGGCTACACAGCACGAATGCACCTGACCCAAAACCCCCAAAACGGAGGCCAGGCCTGGCCAGGCAAATAAAGATAGACAAATAAGCCGAGGTAAAACATTTTCGATCCGATCGTTGAAGGAGCTCATTGCCATGCCCCTATTTGGGAGCAGGCTCAATACCTTGTCTGATATGGGCATGACAATATATTCCAAGCTTCAAATCTATAACTTTAATGGTGCCAAAACACACATACTTCTAGACAGAAGGAAGTATCTCCTAGCCTACAAAATATATATATTCTTGATCAGGACGACGACGATTCTGACTCGAACTCGCAATGCTTGAGACTGAGACCTGAAATATGTGATTTATATTCTTCTATAAAAAAAGCAATACGAGTTAATTATTTGCTTCGGTAACTTCTGCTATTTTCAAAATATCACTGGAATCATTTTTGAGATGAGTTTTTCTAAACTCGAAAGTTAAATTTTATATGTAGTCAGGCATGTCCAGCATTAGAGCACATTTACTTGTTTATTATGTTTATCTTAGAAGGAGACATCTGTGATCTAATATATTTATATATTCTTGATCAGCATCAACAGCCGATTTGATATAAACATGTCTGTCTGTCTGTTTCTATGCAAACATGTTTCAGTTTTAAATCTATCGTCTTGAAGCCTTGCATAAGTCCGTCTTTCTGTTGCAGGCAAAGCATATTTATGTCGGAACCGCCCGGATCGGACCACTATATAATTTAGCTGCCATACGAATGATCTGTCGAAAAGTCTTGTAAGAAAGACTGTCTAGTTTATCAAGACTTCTTGACGAAACTCGGGATCTATTTGTTAGCTATGCTCAGTATATAGATATATACATATCTACATTTATATTTATATATATATATGTCTAATGTACATTAGACTACTATATGATATATCTCTAAAGAAATCAGCTGAAAATCAGCTAGTTTTTGTCTGTGTTTCACCAAACTCAGCGATTCGAGTCTAACTATACTCCTTACATATCTGTAACCCTGTAAGCGAAAGTTCTACAAGAGTATTTAAGAAAGACATTTTTTTGTTGTCAGGTTCTTTGGTTGGCTATTTCAATTGGTTTATTAATCAGGAGGTTTGTTTCGCTTCTGATGG